CTCTAATTTTTGCCACACTTATGACATTACATATATAATTAGATTAATAATTGTAGATAGACAAATGAGCTGGCTCAATGTTAATTGCATTTAGTCTGCAATCCATATATCAATGTTTTTATATGACATATTAATGTTACCAATTACTGTTTCCCTAAAAGTTTTGAATTTTTTGGTTGAGTAAATGCCCATTAATTCATAGGGGTTTCTTTTAAGTTTTTTATTGTCAGGGTTTACGTAACTCATTTGGCATAGAAATGTCAAATTTACATTTTTTTAGTCGCATATCTTTTCGCATAATTTTTTTTCGGAATGCATTCTGCTCTGTGAAAATCCCACATCATTTTTCGCAATCTTGCCGATTGCTGCAAATGTGAAGCCTTCGTTTAAAAATAACCTAAAATTTAAAAACACGGGGACAAGGCTAAAGCGGCCAATGAAAACAGAGTGGCTTGCTGTTGTAATTTCATAGTAATGGACTGTACGTATTATTGATTGTTACGCTTTAATATTATGACTGTATGAAACGTCCAAAGGCTGTTATAATTCAGATATCGCACGTTTTTTGCTTTTATTACAACAATGCAGTCATTTCTGACACTGGTTGTTTTTAATGATTTATCACGTAGCAAATTAACAACCTTAAATTCTGTAATCGCAGACCCGGTAATAAGGGATCCATTTTTATATATTCACGCTGTTTTTTTAAAATCTGCGTTGGATACTTGTGTTGTCGTTGTCCACTCTCAGAGTTAGTTGTCCAATTGTGGAATTTTTCCCGATATTTTCTTTTGTTTTTAATCATTGTACTTTATACTAGTCTTTGAAAATACTGCGGTGCCTCTTCGCTAACTGCTGTCTTTAGCGTTTTTTATTTACACTTGTTAACAAATTTATTTGCTCACTATGTTCTTTTAAAACGCTTATCTCCAACTCCATTCTAGGATCTCGACTTCTTTGCTAACCACTGCTTTATATTTTTTATGTGATGCATTTGTTGGCCAATAATTCATAGTCATTTGAATCGCCAACACAACTGATGAAATATGCCCACTCGCGTTGGTCCCGTCTCTACTAATGTTGCTCGTGATTATCAGTGTTAACAGGACTCAGTTACCGTTCGCATAGTGATTGTGGTGTTTATCTAAATGTGCACAAATTGATTTTTATTCCTGATTTAAAGGAGCTTATTTAGTCTTCCTGGGAGATCGTTTTTGCTTAGCAACATGTTGCACTTTTTGTCAGTGCTCTCTTCAAAATGCTAGCCATTATTATACTCTTAAAGCGTTATTACTTTAAATTCTTACCACTTGCATGGAATTGAAGAAAATACCTATGTTTTATAGAGTCTTAATTTGTTGAATTTGATATTTTACACAAAATATTTAGCTTACTTTGAAGTTACCCCAACATTTCAGATCTTTTGCCGTTTGTGCTATCGATATTGAGTCGTTATATGTGGTGGTATTTATTGTCTCTCGCCATTTCGCTTGCATTTAACTTGCGTAAAGCTTATCTAAATGTGTTTTGGTACAATTCCCTTCTCTTATTCTGCTCCTAGTGCACGAGGTTTTTACGTTTCAGTTGATGATGATGTCGCTTTCAAGGATGACGAGGAAGTTGCCATTCCTCGAGCCTCCTTGAACAAATTCATCAAAGACATTCTACCGGATGCGCGCCTGGCAATAGAGACACGGGAGCTTCTTCTTAGTTGTTGCCACAAATTCATCCACCAGTTGTCAACTGAGGCCAACGCTGCCTGTGCACGCGCCAATAAGAAGACAATCAATCCAGAACACATACTCAGTGGTAAACCGCAGTTTATTTCCTTCCCTGTTATACTGCAAGCGAGGTGTTCCGGGGTGAGACGCAGAAAGGCATGTGAACTCACTGTCCGGAGGGGTGGTAGTTGGTCTCTTATGCACTTGGTGTAGTGACGATAAGTCATTGTGTGGCGATGCGTTGTTCTTTCGTCAAAATGTGTGTTTGTCTTACTCTCTAGGGCTTGATGCTATGGGTCTTTCAAGCTACAAGGAGGAAGCCAGAGCCGCGAATGAAGGAGCCAAAGTCGAACTCAAAGACCGCCGAATGCTCAGCGCTAGTCATCGTTTTAAGAAGCACGACAGCGAGGAGTTAAAACGGCTCATGGAGGAACAGGAGCGGATATTCGAATTGGTAAATACGCTTAACTTGTAGTTAATCGCTAACCCTAATAATTTAAGCTAACACCGTTCTTTGTGATCTCACCTTTCACGTGCCTCGTGATATCGACATTGTTGGTGTTTGAAAGTGCTAACGACGTGATGTTTTTGAAATGCAGTCCGTTTTTATCGCCGATTCAGTTAGATGTCTTCATTCCGAATACGCCATCAGCATTCTCGCTGCTTACTTTTCACCCCTATCAGATGAAATTGGCAATGTAACTCTCGTCGAAAAGTAGAATCAGCGTTGCTTCTAACTGGTAACAAATAGGCTGGCAAAATACACTGCCAATTAACTAATGGGAGGTAGAGTAGTCCTCTGACCGACGTTTCGAAGTTCTTCTCACCTCATCAATCGGTCTAGTTGCAAACGGAGTGCCTTTTGCACGGTTCATAAGCACAGCGTTTATCGTGTTATTTCTCTTTGGCCCTTTTTTGACCTGAACCTGACTAATCGTTTACCAACGTCTTTATTTTGTACTGGGCAATCTTGTTAGGGATCTTAATAGTTAGTTTAGAAAGGTAACAGCTATGTGTGGAAATTGCAAGGGCACATTTGATAGAAGTAGAAAAAGTTGTTGATTTTTAGGAACTATTGCTGGCAAAACTTAAAAATAAGGTAGCCTCTGCTGGGATTCTTTGATCCCGTAGGAATTGAGCGTCAAATCTGGTGTTGAGCCGATTATGCCTATGCCGAAAGTTCAGTGGAAGCTAGAATTCTTGTGATATCTTTTTGAGTGAGTTTCAAATTGCAGTCAAAAGTTAGATCAATGACCGTAGACTGCGTCCTGCTCCAAATCTGCGTAGGAATTGCGTTGGAGGATGTTGCGATCCATGCGATATGCCAGATGCCGGAGCGGCTTTGAGCAAATATATGACTGCTAGATTCAATGTTGACGAGTTGATCGATGATCTTGGTCAAGCTAGGCTCGTAAATACACTTGCTATGACCCATTTCGATCACGTTTATGATCTCAAGCCTTTTTGAACTCGCAAGCCAATTGTAAGCAGACAACCACTCCAACTGCGTTATGAATACATCAAGGTACAGGTCAAATACTTGTCCGCACGCCTTCACTTTCAGGCTCGCGTCGGGATGATGGAGAAGCAGGTAGACGAGAACGATCTGATCAAGGCGGCCGCATCCACGATGGCGACGTTGAGTGGCAGAGCCGGGTTGTCCGCGTCCGAGAAGTCGGCCCCCACGCGCGACGAGGGCAGAGCGACGGCGGGGCTAGCGGGCGACGCCGTGGCCGAACAGTCGGCCATCCCCGGGTCCGCTGTTCTCCTTGGTGGCCTAAATGCCCTTGGTGAGGAGGACAACTACGACTGAGAGTCTTTCTCTGTGTATAGAAAAAAAAAACAATTAATAAATTGCTCTGCTATTTGTGCTGCGGCAGTTCGATTACTTGCTATTTTGCTTCGGTCTGCCGCGTGGAATGCTAGCCGTTGGCGAGACGGCAGTTCCAATTTTTTACGAAAGTGTTTTGTCCGCGTTTTGGTTTTCACTAACTGATTACTACCGTTTGTAGCTTTATAAATGAAGTCGCTTTCGGGTTTGCTTCTGACTGTCGGCTGGTATTCGCTTTTGACTTGACGAGAGTTCGGTTTTTCGCTTGTTGTGTGGAATCCCAGTGTGTTGGCAAGACATTCGACGGTCTTCTATCGGTGGTGTCGTTTGCAGTACGGAGGGAATTATCGGGGTTCACGGTAGGATTTGTGGGACGCGTTTGGAGTTGACAATCTCGAAGGAACTTAGCGCCGGTGATGGTGTTGTAAATTTCTGCGTTATTTGTGTTGCAGTGATTCTGCTATTTCATGTTCCTGTTCAGATTGTTGTATGGAATGCTTGTATTTTTGCCACAAAGTAATTTCGCTTTCTGGGACTAGATCGCGACGCGATTGTTTCGAAAGCGTCAATTTCTGGCTATCGACTGAAGGTCGCCTTTGACAGATTGAAAATCAGACAAATACGTTTTTGCTTATTTCTCTAAATACATGTTAAAGAGTTGCGGTGTATTTTTTGTATATTGGCTGGATAGGCGAGTGGGCCAGAATTGCGATCCGGAGACTTTTCGCTCAATGTTGGAGTTGATGACCCAAGCATGGCAGTCCCTGAATCATTTCATGGCAAATAAACTGTTTTATAAATTGCCGATGGCTAGCCATGTTTATCACTCATAACGTGTACTGCTCATCTGGAGTTTGTCGATAGCTATCCGCCACTCTCTTGATTGGTTAATTAATCAGTCAATGGCCATCTGCCACTTTTGGTTGGTTGATTAATCAGTCGGTAGCTATCCGCCACTCTCCTGATTGGTTGATTAATCAGTCGATAGCTATCCGCCAATCTCTTGATTGGTTAATTAATTTGTCGATGGCTATCCGCCACTATCTTGATTGGTTAAATAATCTACCACGATAACGCCTCTCTATATTCGAAACACAATGGCTTTTAATCGAATTTGCGCCGACCTCAGCCAATCTTCTGCCTCCTTGCGTACGGGTGGCACGAGGGGAACATATGTAGCCAAGCAGGGACAGGCTCGTATGAGAAGCAGCATATAATGAATGGCGCCTGACGCATGGTTCTGCCCTATGATTGGTCGATGATGCCTTTCGTGTTGTACTAGTGTTCTTAATACAGGAGCTTAGATGTTCTAAAGCAGTGACGTATAAGGGTATTCTACACGCTAAATCTAGTAACCGTTGTTTGTGCTTGGAATAGATAACCAAACGAATTTCAAACGCTTTTTACTGGCTACGAATTAGCAGTGCGTTTTCTGTGCGTGATAGCCGTATTGAAAATCACAGCCCTTGATCGGAAATGACGGGTGCAACAACTTTCAGGTTTCATTGACGTGCAACCAACGAGAAACTTCTTTTAGCCAATGTCCATCCGATTCATTCACTCGGGCAGAAATGTACGCTTCGGCCCCATGGTATGGTCAAGAGGAGGGAGTAAGGCAAAATGGTGTCCTTAATAAATGCTGAAACAAGTCACAATCTAGTCACAAACAGGTCGGTTTAAGAGGGAAAACAGGGTCTTTGTATATCCTTGTTCTGGTTGTTCTGTTCTCCCGCTGGTCCGTTCCGTGCCACTGCAATGGATGCGGAAAACTCGTGAGCGGATTGGCTCTCAGTCCCCGGCGCATCATTCATTGCCGCGTGACGCCACACTGCCGTCACCTTCGCCCAATGGATTAACACCAATATGGCTGCTATCTGTCACTCAGCTAAAGAGATGCTATGCACGGCCGCAGACATACTAATCACGCTGACCTGGGCCAATCCTGTGTCTTTGCGTTTGAATGTCCTAGGATCTGGGTCAGCAATCAATTAGTGACAAGGATAGATGAGAAACATCACATAATGGGCAACGCAGCCATTATGGAGGATTCAAGGGGTCGGCGCTGATAACTCAGTTGTACTAGTCTCCTTCGTACTAGGGCTCGCGTATTCTGCGTGGCCACGCTGTCTTTTGTTTTCGTGGTTCCTGTTAATTATCTTTATTGGTTGGCTAATGATCGCCTCTGCAGTCCATCCAAATTAACTCAGGACATAGAGTGATTCATTATGGCTGTATCAAAAGACACTATTTTACCTTTGGAAATGCTTGGTCCTTTTTGGGTTTCATTGGTGTCAATAAAATATTGATTTTGAAGTACGTGAATCTTCGACACTGTTCCGTCACAAGTAATAAGTAAATATCTCGATGCTGTAGACTAAGAGGTTGGGATATTTAATTTATTTGCAAAAAAATGTACTTGATTGTTGATTTTTTCAAATGGTTGTGCTGGCTGTCAGTGGTCTTGTTGGCTTTTTATGCGATTTTTTAGGTAGTTTAACGAGCCTTTATGATTTAAATTATTTTAGATCAGGGTAACAATCTTTTCAGTATGGCATTTAAGTGCACTCGGGTTTTACTCAAATAATGATGGTAAGAGTCAACAGCACAATGAAAACCCGTTTATTCAAGGTAATATATGTAAAGGGTTTTATCCAATATGTTAAACTTACGGTCACGCCATACTGCGGAACGCAAGTTTAAATATATTACTGAGACATAAAATTGCACGGACAATGTTCATTGAATTTTGAGGGTGGTAAACAATTTCACCGAGACGTCAAACATTGTTTTGTCAAAATGAAAATTCTGCATAAAAATTAGAACTTACATCTGGATGATTTATTGCCATCTTATATGATTTGTTGTGGTCTGCAACAAAATCATCCATTAATTTTCTCTTTATCTGCTTCTGTGAAAGTAAATGTTGACAACTTGGCTACAATTTGCAATTTTGAAGAATTGTAGGTGGAATCCCTCAACTTCCGATAGAAATATTTTTTGCATCCTCCTATTTTATAACTTAAAAGCAAAACCAATTTGTAATGGAGGAAGTCTTGCTTAGTGTGTGATGGCACTTTTAAAAGGAGTAGCATAAACAAAGCGGAATACTTGGATAGTTGCCACTATCAATGAAAGACCCATTTTCCATCTGGTGCCGAAATATTTTGAAGAGGAATACTTCATAATAATTAAATGATGGCTTTTGAGACACGGTTTCACCGGCTTATCCAAAATAATGTGTAGATCTTTACTAGAAGTGTGCATGAATCATGTGTGAATAATAATTAACAAACATATTTAATGAATTTGCGAGCATATCACTCCTTGGAAATTATGGGTGTACAGTGTTTTGGAAATGTTAAAACTTGGCACCGTCACTTGATCCCGAATGTCAAACAGTACAAAAGTACTGGTCCAATATCATAGCAAAGTTTTTTTTCACACACACTTCTGGGTCGCTAGATATATTTCTCTCTCAGATAACTAAGTCTTTGATTGTCGATCTTTACGGTATATAAGGGATTTTAGTAATGTGACCATAAAGAATATAGCTTTTATGCAAAATGTAATTTAAGATTGACACATTAGCAGGAACACACTTTTTTTTAAAAAAAATGTCAAAATTATCAACATGAAGTGTACATATCTGCGAGTTATTTTTCATTCACAACATAAATCCTTGAGAAATCAGGGGATTCTAATAAGAACTTTTGCATAATTACTTCGAACAACAAGCTAAATCTTCTCACATTTGCTATATATCAAGATTAAATTAACGTAGCTAAGAGGTGTCGCCGAAGAATAAAATGAGGTCCCGATGTTAAAAATATGTTCCAAAATATTTAAACAGTTCACGTCGGCTCAGGGAAAAGGATGGCTTTGATAAGGAAATAATTCTATGTGGAACTAGGTAAGAAAAGTAACATTTTGTGTATTGCCTGCGACGTATTTATTACATACTTGTTATATGGCTTTGCGAGTCGAAAAATAATAGCGAAAAATAAAAATTTCTTTATTGTTTTTGTGGTGGCTGGTTAAGCATCAGCGACAAAAGATATTTAAATTAATTAATTTAATTCACTAGTTAATCTGAGTAGTTGCTTTTAAAACTGTGGATATAAATTTGAGTTTCATTTACTTTGAAGCAAGTTACAGGTAAAATTTTAGCGTGGAAATATTGGCATGGTCAACTCATCTGAAATCCAACCTTCAAATTCCATATATACATAACAAATCTATATACGTGAAAACAATATCTGTTTTCGTTGCATCATATTTCTTTGATGTATTAAATTATGGCATGTTATTAGTGGAAATTATTCAAAACACTTCGCTTTCTTTCAATCCATATCTTAGGCATCTCAATTTTCGCAGGTGTTTGGACTATTCAAAAAAAAAACACTACACACTTAAAACGTTTTTTTTAATGACAGAAACGGTGTTTCATACCACACAAAATTCGCACACTGACTTTTGGAATAATTTTTTTCATATTCTTGAATACTGCACGTTCCAAATACGCTTGCTTGTTTTTGAGTCACACGAAACATTCTAATTGAGTTTTCGAATAAAAGGGTGTAATCAATTCAGTTAACTTTTTTCAAGCTTGAAATCTTTGGTCAAACCATTTCGGATTTATTATCGATTTTCGGCGCTCTCCGCAAATCTATAACAGCCGCGCCCGCTTGTCCTCACTTGGATTCGGATGGGCACGGTTGAAGACGTAAAATCTTTGGGAAGGAACATCTTTGATACTTTTTTGCCATTTGTTAACAAAGGTATGCCATAATTTTACTGTGCAATTGTCGAGGCTTACATTGATCCTTGTTTGTTAGACCTGTATATTTATACGGAAATTCGAATTTTAGATCGTCTTTAGTCCTCCTATTATAGTGTGATAACTCTTACAGCAATGCGCATTTTGGCAAATTCGGTAGTTTTTTCGCGTTGCATTTTTCCGCAGACTCATTTTTTTAATCCGAATTCGTTTTAACTGACGTAACAGATTATCGGAAATTAAATGCTAGTTTTGTTATTATTAGTTAATAATCAGTATAAGAATATTTTATGGTGCATCTGTGTTTTACAGTGCTAGTGAACCTAATGCCAGAAATGCCAACTCTTGTTAGGCCTGATTAGAAGTCTGGCTACCTTTCAAATCATATTCACTTTATAGTAGGCTTAAAAAAGGCATTTTCTGATTTGTTATGCATGTGATTTATGTCAGGCGCCGCGTTATTAGTGCCAATACCAAATCTTATAGCCGTACATGAGAACAAGATTCTGGTATATTTCCTTTGCTGTCCGGTCAATTTTTAGAACCACCCACATTAATTGCTTGCAAGGAAACGCAATCACCTTCGCCCCTTCAATCGACTGAGCCATGCATTGAGATTCCGCGTCCCCTGGTTTCGCAACCACCACACAAATTAAGTTCCGAAAGGGATTCACCGAATGGTAGTAGTCACAATGTTGGTGGAGGTGGAACTTTGGAACTCCCTCTTACTCCCCCTCGAACACAGCCCCCCTCTGACGATGAAACTGACTCTTCAGGCCCAAAAAAATCGTTTTATTCTGTCACAGAGCTCTCTGTGGCCCTTTCCTCACTGCTTCCCGATCAAATCGTCGCCGCCAAAGAACGGTGCTTACGCCTCCGCTACCCTCCGACGCTTGCTGCGCTAATGCAGAAGGATCAACTCGCCTCCAAAAAAGACCTTGTGGTAAATGTGGGAAAACAGACAAAGCCACGGTCATATCGCCCTACGCGTGACACCGGTTTTTTAGAGATTGACGCCAGTCACTTCGATTATACCCTAGTTAACCTTCCTGACATGAAGTCAGTCAAATCGGAAGGCAGTGACAGAGGCGGTGTGGAGGCCGTGCCTGAAGTCTCTGCTACTAGTGGCAGTAGCGGGAGTGGAAGGAGTACGCCCACCAGAGTTTCTAAACGGAAAGCGTCAAAACGACCCACGAATAAGTCTGTGATATCTAATCAGAAAAGATCATGTAAACGCACCCGAATAGAAGCCTCTCAGCCTTCAACGGGTGTACAATCGCTCGCGAGTGACGTATTAAGCAATGTAAGTTGGGTTTGTCGCTTATACCTTATGACCTTTACCAAAACTATGGCGCCATTCTGCTTTAGCCACGTCGATGCTTGTAAAATTTTGCATTCTTTTTAAACTCTGTAGGCGGACGATAGCGACATGCAATTTTCTGATGGTGAGGGCATCGTCTCTGTAACAGAAGCTCCACGGAGTCTTCCTTTGAGTAAGTAGCAAATTATGCGCTAAAATCAAATATTGTGAGGCATTGTCTGTTATTCTGCTTCTTGACTTCATGTTGGCTTGCCTCCTCATACGAAATGGTTATTTTCTGTATTCTTAAATTCCTAAGGTATTGCAAGTATTCCTGTGTGTCGGTTCCGATTCATCAAAAAACGTTTTTCTGGTTTCGAGACTGTCGAGTTTTCTCAACTATAATTTTTCGTTCATTGTTGAAAGGTATATAGACCAACATTTTCCCTGCTTGTATCTCATTTACTGACCTCAATAATTACAACAAAGTCAACATCCAATTAACCATTACAAGATTGACACGAATGTGAGCCACACATCCTGACAAATTGCCAGACCGAAAACACTGTTGTTTTCGATTTCTCAAGCTCCGAAAGTGGGCTAGACTTCGCCCGATTAGGAATCTGAGCCTCACTGCAATGCTGCGACACGCACTGATCGATTTTCTTTGCATTTTCAGCCCATTCATCGCTGGCCTCCGATAAGCAGTCTCCCTTGTCTCTCACAGAACCCTCTGCAACCTTAGGTGTGCAGGACTCTTCGACCGCACCTACGATGCTAAAGCGCAACAGACGCTACTTTAGCCTATTACCACCCGTCCAACGCCCCCCAACTGACAGACCCGCAGAACCAAACTCTCCATCCCTTCAGCAATCGATGCCGCTAATAATTGACTCCACATTAAGCACTTCGCAGCGACGCTCATCTCTGAAAAAGGTACGTTAAGATGTGCCGTTTTCGTGAGCGCACTAATTAGGCACAGTGCTCCTCTACACAGCACACCCTAATCAATTTCTCACCAGATTTAAAGCATCCTCGGTCAGGCTGATTGGTTCAGCGAGGTCCTTGGTTTACTCTAATGTCCAAATTAGGACGCTCTCGGGGTCAAGCAACCAGCTATCGCCATCGGTGTTATGCTGGATGGGGGTTTGACTAGTGAGCCACAAAGTGAACACAAATGCAGTGGAGGTTGGGGGAACGTTCCTCTTGTTTGCGAACTCATGATCAGTCATTTGCCAAGTACTCTAGCTCAACTTCATAAACATGTGTATTTACGCCGTCAAATGAATTCCTTTCGATTGATTTTTCCTTCCTTTCAGCAGGCTGCGTTATCAAAAATACGACAAATCGCTTAGTCTCAACCGATTGGATGACTCCATGCCTTGTTTCTAACTCGATTACCTTGAAGCGCCTTGTCAGTAAATGCGGTCTATTGTAACTTTTGTTTGTTTTTTTTTGCATTTAGCCAACTAAGCTGTCAGTTTCACGAATGGAAGCCATCCGCTCGAAGTGTATTGAGGGCAGCATTTACCTGGACAAGGTAAAAAACCGGTTTCTCTGTTACCCTCAGATCTCTTTGAAATTGCTGTGCCAATTTTACACCGTTAAGCGTTTTTTTTATTAACCTGAAAACCCACACCACGGACGAGTTTATGCAAAATTTCTGGCCTTGGCCTCGCAAATGATTATCAGGCGATAAATGTTTGAGAATGATAAACCCTATTGAAGCCTTGTGTGAGCATTTAGGACATATCGAGCCACTGACAGCTGATTCTTGCTTGCCTAGTTTTGCCAACAACTCGTCGCCTGTGGAATCGGCTGGACGAAGGCCCTGGAGATGTCGGCGATGGCTGTGAGCAGCGATTTCCTCGTCCCCAGCCCCTGCCCCTTCGGAAGGCCTCACTTGGTGTCGCCGGGTATGGCGAAAGACTCCCCCCGGTACGTTTGATCTCTCTGTGACTTCGCCTCCAGGAGCGCAGCTCACTTGACACGCGTCGAGTTCAGTTTGTCGATGCACCGCGTCATCTCTCCGCTGTTTTTCGCGTTACCACAGGGAATTTCAGGCATTGAATTCCCCTATTTATCTTAAGAGCTGCGAAAATGTGGACCATATGTTGTCACAGTACTTGTGAATAGTTGGAACGATCCGTGGACATAACGCCTACGATTGTGGTCGGTGTTAGTTGCCTAGGTTTACCACACTTGGTTGCCAGGGCTAGCTTCTTTTGTGGTCGCTAAAAATGTCGGCAGATTGAGGAGGTGAGGAGGCAGCAGTTGTTATTATGGTGTCCGCGTGCATCTTAACCCTTTACACGCAACAACTCTGTTTGCACCTGTGGCCTGAATCATGACCTCTACGTCTCTGACCCTTCCATTGATTCCTACCCTGGAGCTTCCCTATTGGCTCCAATTTTTTATCCAACGGTCCTAGCATCAGATCATCGTACTGTACTCGTAGAATGCTTAAATTTCATTGGGGCAGCTCAATCATTTCCTTTTATTGATTTTTATCACAAACTGGACTCTCATTGGTCACAGAGACTAATGAAAACACATTCCTTCACCAATCAGATTTTCCGTCGTCTGCGCGTGTCTGCCATTACATTTTAGTGGTTTCGAGCGCAGCATTTGAGCGCCCTTTCAAATTTACGAGGCTTAAACCTGATTATGAGTATCCGTGGTTTGTAGTGCCGACCAACTCCTGCTAGTTGGCGATGCCCTTCGACTCATAGCCCTTGCGAGCAACGCCGAGGAAGGAGACCACCAGAACGCCCTGAACTGCCTCCGCCAGCGTTGCCGCCAAGAGTGTTTGTCGATTCAGCTGGATGGTGTGCGCGTTCGAACGCCGAAGGGCCTCCAGGTCGTGCCCTCTGAGTGGACTTCTCTGCTGACCAGTTTCACCGTCTGCCTCCCCGTCTTCCTGTGGCTACCGGTTGTCGTCGCTCCACATCAGGAGATTCTCAAGCCACTTTTCTCGCTCGTGAGTGCAAGTCCGCGTCGAGGGGCCGCCAGTTGGACGTCGGCGTGTTCGGCGGAGGAACTGGCTCACCTCTTGCTCGCTCTCTACCCGTCCCTCTCCATCCCCGATCCGCTGCAACTAACGAACCACACATCCTCCAACGGACTACGCGACTTCCTCGCCTTAGCGTCGACGCCATTTGTCAAATGGTCCAATGTTTCTCTGCCAACCGCCGATTCGCCTTTGACAGCGCTTGTGGAAATGGTTCCACGGCGTCTCCACCTAGTGTGTCGGATGTTCTCTTGCTCACAGCCGGCGAATCTTGCCGGACTCGGTCTCATTGCACTCCTCTTCAAACGCCTCTTTATGCACTTGTTTGTGAACGCAGAGAAGGTGGGCAGGGATCGGGTAACTGTGCTCCGACATTCCCTGCGTCTTATGGAGTCGGATGACGAAGATCACCTCATCGCGGCTGATACCTTTTCGCACTTGGAGGCCATCCACGTGCGTGTCTCTGAGTGTCTGGGCTGCCTACGGAACGCCTTCCCGCAGTTAGTTTCCGCCGGCGCCTGTCTAACAGCACTGCACCGCCTCAAAACGGATCCGTCGCCGACTCCAGCCGATGTCGGGCGTTCGCGTCTTTTCGACTCCGCCCAAGACGCCCGTGATGCCATTTTGACTGCTTTTAAGGCGAAAATGCACCCCTGCCTCGTGGCGCTCTTCGAGGCTCTCGATTCGGCGTTCGCCTTCTTCAACGCGGTGATCGATCTGGACTTGTTCATGTTCAAACAGTCCCTTCGAATGAAGACCTACAACAATGCCTGCCATCTCTTGCGCACTGGCATCATGACGCTGAACATGCTTGAACAGACGAGACTCCGGCGAGCACGGAAGAAGGACTCTGATGTCAATCGGCTGCTCGACCCCGTCAGACTCTATCGGGCCAAGGTGGTTATGCTAAGGCCCCCGTGTTTGTTGAGCGTAGTCGATAGATTGACACATCAGTTAAAGATATTTCGACAGGTCATTCTGTCCTCGCGTCAACGCCTCTCAGAAAGTTGGTGGCCCGCCTTCACGGCCAGTGCTATTGACGAAACCGCAGCAACGCGAGTGCAACAGTTTGTCGCTGAGATGCAGGCCTGCTTCGACACGATTGAACTCTGGTCTCGCTGTGTTCATGATTTCGAGCTGAAGAACGTACCACAGCGTATGTTGAGCCTCCTTGTGCAGGACGTGGGTGAAAGTGTTTCCGGCCTATCCGAGTTGGATGTTTCTGCTGGCCAACAGCTTCAGATTCCGTTCGGGTCGAAAAACACGTCCAACATCGAGTTGTCCCCAGGCCTCATCTCAGTACCTCCACTTTCTCTCTGTCCATCGTTTGAAACCGCTATTGGAGATGGCCAAAACTCAACTACCGCCACAGTTGTCGTCACACCGAACCCGAATGCCGAATCGACTTCAAACTCCGAGTACTGCACTGAACTACTGGAGAGTGCTTTCTCTGTTAGCGACACGGAATCGGGCGTATCGCCTCCAGCAATCAGCGAATCAGCGGAGAGTCAAGGTGAGCCGAAATCTGGTGCCTCACCCGTAGAAACAGAGAATTCAACACTTCCCGATCCCGCCGCTGCAGCCGAACCGCCAGCTTCGGCTTCGTTGAGTGTCGAACAGCCAACGTCACACTCCCCGAATGAGAAACGAAAACGCCAGGTTGTGGTAACGATGACAACGGACACTTCTATTGGAGTAGAATCAGGTCACGCGTCACCAAGCTCCACACAGTCTCGGGACGAGGAAACTGTCTCGGTTCGCGAAGCCATTTCACCCCCGCCACCCGCAGCTTCCAAGCGCGTTATAATCAACGTTGCTGGAGACGTGTTGACAACCACAGACTCGGCAGTTGAAGGGCCTGTTTCCAGAAAGGCGTGTGGTGTTGATCGACGAACTCTGGGCAGACTGATGAGATACCGGAAGATTCGAAGTCAACGGACCTCCAACGCGGGTGGCGCGGACTTGCGCGGGACCAACAAGTCAGCTCTTCGGCTCCTGACAGCAATGCGGAAGCGGTCGGCTAAGCGACGTGCTCTTCTCTCTCGATCATCTCCTGCTTTTAATCCCTCTGATTTTGTAACCAACGCCTTGGGTGACACAGCGGAGACTTGATTGGGTGTGCTACTCTGTGCGTGTGTGTATTTGTGTGTAAATATTTTTGTCCCCAGTCGACCCATTTTTGTACAGATTTCTATAAACACGCTTTCTTTAGACCATCGATTTTACCAGATATATATATATCGTATATTTACCAGCCCTCTGACATCCCTTTTGTTTTATTAAAAAGCTTTTCGTGTAAGGGAATTTTGTCTTGTTTATGGATGTCGACGCTTAGTGGGTACCCAAAATTGATTCAGAATGCTGTCAGACACACAGTCTTTAATGCGCCTTTTCGAGTTGAAGACCACAGCACTTATTTGAGGTCGTGAAAGGAATTATCACATTGTTCGAACAGCTCTGGTTCAAAAGACCGAGTCAAGGTGTAGTTCGAAACCACTCACTACTGTTAATACCTAAGTAGAAGACGTTAACGAGCTTTATACCTGGCGTAACAGAGTTGATCTGTTGCAATTTGTCGCTTGTGCAAGTTTTCTCGGTAGCTGGAGGGTGAATTGGGACACACTGAATTCGTCGAAACGGCAGCAGATCTTTGCAAGTGTCGAGTAACACGCCGTAAAATATTTACGGCCTCGCGATTGCCACGTGGTCAGGCATTGCATGCCACAGAGCCATTGCCGTAGATGGCTCCCGAGCAAAGATTAACGCTCGGTTAATCCATTTACTTTGTCAGTTCATGTGATGGATTTTGTGGATTTGCATTTTGTTTAAATTCGCCTCCGGAATATGGCGCGCATTTCAACTGCGGTGCCTAAGCGTGCTTTTTGTCGGAAATGCAGACATACCACAACCACTCGATACCCACACACACGCCCACTTCTAATTTGCGTTGAAGTGATCAAGTGATTACTTGGCAATGCAGTGTTTTGTGAGGTGCGATTAATGTTTTCTAACGAGTTCCTGCAAAATACTTGTCGAATTATTTAACTTCTAAATCCTACATTAACCGCGTTTAAATTGCTTTCAGAATGTTTGGTGAAGAGTAGCTGTACTTTTGGCAAATTTAAATAATTCTACACTGACAGAAATAATATGTGCCAGTGAAATGCCTTAAATGTATGCTATTCCTGGCTGTTATTATTGTAGTCAGTTTTGACCAATCATTGATTTTTGCAATATGCGAAGTAACTTGTCAATCAATCTCTATTTAGAATCACTCATTTGGCTTATTGGACGTACTCTAGAGTATTCAACAACTTTGAATTCCCACCACATCTACTATGCATCACGCTTTGAACTGACCGTGCGAGAATGCGACTAGTCCCTTCACCTGAGGATGCTTTCAATTGCAATTTGCAGGCCATCCCATGGAACTTTTCAAATTGTCAGAAGTAGAGAGAGTATTTCCCAGAACAGAGCCACTGACCGTCTGTATTGAACTTGTCGAAAAAGCCAATATCGCTGGCAATGTATGCTGGATTTTAGACCACGAACTTCACAGCTCCTCAAAACAGAAGTCACGGGAATTATTGGGAGCCCAGTAACCACACTTTAAGACAAATCCGAGGCGTTTTACACAATCTGGAAAGCTTTTACTTGTCAATATTGAGCAACGCCCCCGCTTACTGCCTCTGGTGGGAATTGGGCACGTCCACTCAGTCTAAACATGCGCGCTACGCAAGTTCTCTCCCTAAATCCAAAGGCGCCCTCATACCGCTTATTAGTTTTAAAACTGCGGAGAGTCCACATCGTACTCTGGCGTCAGCGATATTGACAAGAAGCCAGAATCTGAACACATCAGCCGACATGTGCTGGCTTAATTTGGACCGAGTTGACGTTGAACAATGTGCAGACGTAAGGCAAGGTAGGCACAGTTGCGACCTTGACGAAAGGAATTCACGGGAGAACCATCGACGTAATTATAAATATTGAGGAGGGATTTGCCCTAAACAGCAGGGTGACGGGATTTCACCAGTTTGGACGTGGTTTCCGGAAAAAACCGAAGGCAGATGCCAACGGACATCGAAACTAGAGGACGAAAGAACCATATTCTAATTCTAAACCACCTATGCTTCCTATGGCAATTTTGAAGAAGTTATGCGTCTTCGAAGCGGTGAGCTCCACAGTGTTTGTAGTGCGGCACAGCGCTGTGCCCTATGTGGTTTTACGGTAATCACCAGCCACAATACCATTCTCATATATTCAATGACAATGACTCACCCAAATTCCTGTGTGTGTGTGTAATATGCCAAATTACCACTGAACATAGTTCTGCCGACTTGCCCCACAACTTTCTAATGCAATTTTGCGAACAATTTGTGCAATAAACTAACGAGAAAAACAAACAAACGAGGTAGCAGCGGGCCTTGGACACAGACCTCCTTCAGGCCTTGCAAACATCAACTAGAACCATGACCCACCTGGGAGCACCCTTTCATCGTGATACTTAGGATAAATTCCTCTTCGAAAATCGGACTGTAGTGAGGCTGATGGTCCTCTTGTAAGTATTTCTATCGATGGAACAAGACAGATAATCCGTCCAACATCAGCGGTCACACGGACCTTCCGAAACTGCTGCAACTACAAATTCACCGCAAGTAAACGCACTTTCGACTTACACACGGACACACACCAAAATGAATGTCGTACTTTTGTGGGAAGACAATCGACCTAATTACGCTTGCGTTCTCGAGCGCAACCTTAGAAGTTGAATTCTGGAAGTAGGACGGGTTCAAACTGCTTAGGCGCCTCGTATTCGAGCGGCGTTAGGTTCAAAATCCCGGTTGGAATTACACAGAATGTCAGTTAGACGCTAGTAGAAGTAAACAGGCCATAGTTTATTGCTTTTTTCGGCAAAATAAGCAGAAATAGATCATAGAAAGTAATAAAATACTAGCGCCTAGCCACGAAATGCACCGGACCATCGCCGGGCATGCCTGGAGCCAGGCCACCGAAAGCGCCGACTTCGAGGTGAGGAAAGAGGCACCGGTAGCACACGAACCAGCACGAAATGCCCACAGACGTGCCCAACAACTTGGAGGGCATTGAGTGGAAGTAGATGATCGTGATGAGGAACATGAAGTCCCACAGCAACGAGATGCAGGCTGTAGTGCAGAAGACGGTGCGCAGGTTCATCGTCAGTCGGCTGTACGCGGAGCGCATGGTTTGCACAGTCTCCGGACTGACATTGGGAAGACGCGGCACAGCAGTGGGTGTCTTGGCCAACTCGTCGTTCTGCGTGTTTGCGTCGAGGAGGGCACCGAGGACACCCCACGAGCGCATCACGCACAACTCCTCCAGAATCCAGAGATTTGACATTGTGAGGAGGAAGCAGTGACCAGAGATATCGAAGCCGAGCCAAAAACCCTTGGCTTGACGGCACGATCGTCTGGTGAATGTCCGAAAAGGCGCTTTAAGCAATGTTCCATTCTGGTTGTAGCAGCTTCCGAAAGTGGATTCAACTGTGTTGAAGACTCCTGTACAGACATACCAGCACGCAGAACCGACCAGCAGTCGCATTAGGTGTGCACGCAGGAGACGCTTATTTGCTCCCGTGTAAATGTAGGTGGAGATTATTATGAAGGCGGTAAGCGAACAAAAAGTCCACGCCCAGCCCCACTTGACGAAAATTAGATTGAGCGCATTGCGTTTATTGGAAAAGTAGCAGGGAGGCATCTTCACGAAGTCGAAGATGAGAGAGCCCGCCGCGGCCGCACACAGGTATAATCCCGCCTTGACGGACGGATCGACGAACATGGGTTTGCGCAGGAGGGAGAAGGCGAGGATGCTGAAGAACTGGGCCGGGGACGTGGGACCGGGGATCGGACGACGGCTGCGCGAACCCGGTTCGGCCGGGGGAAGCGGTCGGGAGCCGCTTTTACTGAACTTCCGAAGAGAGGCTGCGCTCAGGCTCATGGCTGGGAGGGGAAAAACACAAGTCAGCGCAAACCACAAGCGGCTCCCGATTAGGCAAACTAGCAAATGGAAGTCGTCGCTAAGTACGCTTGACACTTTTAGGCGACTTAAATAGTACCACGCTTCTAGACAGATTTTACAACGCTATGCGCAAAGACAGTTAAACTCATTAAGGGTTGTGCCGAGCACAAAGACGTAAAGCCGCGCACATATGGGTGCGAAACAACATTACGGATTTATTGGAATGGGCGTTAAATGGGTGGTGTCTAAAGGGAAGACCATGGTGAAAAAGGAAACACGCACGAAACTACCACATCGTCCTCAATAACCACTGTGGAAACAGTAAACAAGCCAGAATGACTTAGTGAAAAAAGGTCGAATTGATCAACGAGGGTAAAATCTGTGTTTACGACAGCTACAAATTCATCTTCAAGTCGCCAACATGCCAAGCTAAGAGGCGATTTGTGAATCCTTTGCAGCATTAATAATCAAATTCTGACTGGTGTCAGATGAAAATCTTTACAAACATCATAAAAACGTTGTCCACGGCACACCTCGATAGACCGAACCTCGAGTCCTAGAATATACTGCACATGTGATTTGGGCACAATCTCAGGTATTTCATTTTAAACAGATCCTTCCAAATGATTTCGGCTTCAACCGGAAAGTTGAAGTCAAAAAATGCCATTATATGTTTCAGCGAATTGATTGAATTATTACACCCTGAGTTTTACAATGCAGAGCATTACAAAGCACAGCAGATATATAGTTGAATTGATTGGTTGAAAGAATATATACTTTTAGAGAATAGAGCCGATTAAAAATTGCAACCGGATCAAGAATAAAAAAGTTACAAGTGGAACAAACTCGATGAGATGCAACTCCATCAGAAGAGGACCAGAGATTTGACCCAAACATATAATATCGAAAAGATCGAGAATATAACGTCCAGATGACTGTGTCTGTACAAAGGAGAATCACAAAAACTTCAAAAGGAAAGGCAATGAACCCCATCATCAGTGAACGCTTGTGATAAAGTTTGTTAAACAAGAAAGAATGCATTGACAGAAATCTAAATAGGGTAAATTAATCCATCGGAATCGCACATTGAAAAAAGTTTGGACACGCAGAAGTTAATTCTTGGTATCATCAACAATGAATGAATCGATGGACTACACCTGGTGAAAAGATGCAAAATACCAATAATTATTTTGGAAACTAATCAATCATGACAACAAATTGTATTAGTATTCTGCTAAAACTGAGCACTTCCAAACAAAATATGCGACAATGGCACCAAGAGCTTTCTTATTTTAAATTTGTTACTAATTTATGCGTCGAAAACAAAAAGAATAAAACACGGCAACATTTAAGCTCAAGATAATTAAACAACTTTGAAATTACGTTAAAAAGAAAGATAACTTCATACCATTAAACACGTAACAAAAAATGAACCAAGCATGAAGCATAAAACCGACGTCGCACATAAAAAAAAGATAAAATGGACGATAACTTACCAGAAATCAAGGGCGGGCGTCAGGGTGTGACTGACCGGTGCCGTGAATTTAAATTGCGTGAAATTACTAGAAGGCGGTAAATTGCAACTCTTTAAATGTATTTTAACTTGTATTGTGAAATTAAATAAATTAACAAATAAATATTTTTGGTAAACGTAGTTACATTTGTTTGAATCGGTCAAGTCATTATCGCTACATGCGTTCAGGTTAAATGTTCCTCTGCGTCTGAGGTGTCGTCCCGCCATCTTTCGCAGGGGTGGCGTGTCTTTTCTTCTTTGTGATGAACCATAATCTTCAATCAATTATGGTAGATCTGAAAAATGGGACAGATGCGCAGGAACATGCAAGTTTTCATTGTTATCGTATTTTTGATAACGTTAATTCCAACCACGCCTACCTTAAATTCGGTGGCCAGGTTCTCACGACACCCCTGTCCGTTTACTGTGACTTAATTTGTCATATTCGTGGTTCTCAATCTTCGAATAAATCAACTTCCAGCACATCAATTCCCCCACAGATGTCTTTCATTGTCTAGTTTTGAAGTCTTTTGACGCACATGCTTCCTACTGCTACTGTTGGAGCGAATAATATTGTAAACTAGCAATAATAGTATGTTTTGAGTGATTTTAGACGCATCTTTATTGTTTTAACTTTTAATGGGCCGTTCCCTACTTCCCCTTTTCTGTTACTTTTCCTGTCGTAATATACGGTCCATTGCGTCAACAAGAGCTTTCATGCCGTGTCGGCCTGCCCGCTTGTTTATCATTTTAAGGCAACGGGTTTGGTCTCCTGCATTTTCCTCAAAATATACAATTTACACTTAATTTCTTGGTTTTGTTATTGGCATCAAAAAGGATGGAAAAGCCCGTCTTGTCAGGTGATCAATTGGGTAGCGTTCGTGCAATTTCACTATTTTTTAGTCGGCCATAGAAGGCTTAGGTTATGTTCTCGTCAAGTTGGAACTTTTACTTTATAAAACCTTGAAATAGGCCGAAATGCGACCTTGTATCTCACGCCCTAGACATTAAATTTATATTTAAAATATTGTGATAATTTTTTGAGAGTCATCGCTCCACGTGATTCGATGTATGTTATTTTGTGCGTATCCTCTTACATCCTCATTTCCATAGACGAAGCTTCACGGAAATTTCGTTAAGGTGCCCCGTTTTTTGTATGCAGATCAGTCCAAACCCATGCTCACTACTTCGTGTCGGGCCGGTGTTTTGTAAATGTTGCATCTGGTAGTGTGGGTGCATCCTCAGCCCTATCCAGTTCTGTATTTCAAAACTTACCCTACACTATGCCATGTGGACTCTTTTGTTAAGCAGTAATCGATGGTCAGAGTTGGCATAGATGAAGGTTTTCGTGTTGGGGTCACGTGGTTCTAAGAGAGAATATGCGTAAGACTTTCACTTCGTCTCGCTCGATTCGAGTCCAGTCGTATGATTTACCTTCACGCTTTGTATCAGTGTGTGACGATGTCGAACTTGTATTCGGTGTGCTTCGTGTCCTAGTAGATGCCTCATTTCGATGAGTATACTGCCGGTCGCTTTGACTTTCTACGTTCTGTTTTTTTCGCGAACTTGAACCCATGGAATTTTACTTACTTTGGGAAACAATTTACGTCATTTTGGAGTGGGCATTCCTAACTTCCCAAGACTCGGCATTATTTCATTTTACTCTTATTTTATTACTTAAAACGCGTTTGAAAATTAAAAGTTATTGGTTGCATTTTGTTACTGCCAGACCAAGGAAGATTATTTCTTTGCTACGTGGATGTTAGTTCTTGTCTGAAACATCTCACGCTCTTCTTGTGAATTTGTTTTCGAATTTGTTGCTATTTTCTGCCGTTCATCTGTTTAAAATCACCAAGGTTTAATCCGATCACTGGCTCACCAAACTGGATCTTCGTCGTTATTCTTCGCATAATCCACTCGGCATAGACTATGTTATTTTCAACTTGCACAAGCGGTAGGAGTAAATGAAAGGTTTTCTTACCCCCTTGATTTCGCTTCATTGTAGCATGTCTGAGATTCTGGGTAGGAGTTTGTCGCTTTACATACTTGAAAATTTGTGTTTTTTAACGGCAATCGAGCTCACATCCCTGTTGTATTTACTCTCTAAATCGTACCCGGCGGATGTTCTGAATGCTCAAGAAGCGCTACTTTGTAAATCCACTTGTGTTTTGGTGGTAGAGGTTTTCGTCTTTCTGTGTGTTTTTGTGTTCTGCATGTTGATCCTAACTGTCCCTAATTGTTTTATTTAGATGAGCTATTGTGTGTGTGTATGCTTTACTTGAAGTGCAGCGTCTTTGCAATGGACCCTATCAACCTTAAAGCATTCCACTTTGCGTTCTATCCTCATATGCCGATACTTTCTTGACCCCTAAATTCGTCTCAATGTTTTGGTCGTACACAGTAGGGTCTCCGTTTGTAACAACTCCGGCATTTCCACTTCGTTCATTTACTAGCCGAGCATTTTAGTTGGCAATAAATTGATACAACTACTTGTCGCGTTCTTAACAATCGGGTTCAAGCGCAATTTGCACTCTTAAGCGTATGCAGGCTGTGGGTTGGTTACTTTCAGCCGTGTCTATCAAAATTAACTTATCTAGTGGGATTTAGGCGTTTGTCGTCATAAGTAAGGGGGTCTGCTAGCAATGCTATGCTCCTGTGCTAAATTACTAGAGGGACTTCCATTGCAATGGCGAGTAGAATAGCAGACAAGCTCCGGGTTGGTAGTGCAGTGGATGTGCTTTGGATGCCCCCTTAAGCCCCTAAGAAGCACCACAATTGGCACCACTTGGTGCTGTCGCCATGCGCGCGTGCAACGACAGCCTCCCGCGCGTTCGATCGAGCCGCGCGGAGGCGCACGCACGCCCCAGATGCATGCGGATGCCACCCGCCTGCGCGAGCGCCTTACCGCGCGCGGTGTCGGCTCGTGGCGCTGGCGAGGCGCGTATTTATATTAGCTCCGGCTAATGCCGTCTCGCCATTGGCTGCTGGTCGGGGCGTGTGCTTATTGGCTAGACGACAGCCTCGTGCCAAGGGCGTGTGATCATTGGTGCACGCTTATCATTGCAGTTTCACGCGTCAACTTTGCGTCTCTAACTACGCTCAGACGCTCGTTGATGTCGCTGTTTTAAGGCTAAGGCATTAACTATGACCTGCGGGGTTTACGGGTCCTGAATATCGCTGGATTTTCGTTAAGTATCAATTACTTCGGGCAAACAAGCACGTCATCGTTGAGTAGTATGCAGTCGTGTTTTGCATGGGTTGTTTCACGAGCTTATTCGAGCTTGACTAGCGCCAGTCTGTCTTAGTCGGATTTCTCGAAATGATTTCTTCGTCGCTTGTCGTTTAGAATTAGTTAATTGAGTTACGTAGTGCGCATCAACATGGTTTCTGCCATGCTTCTTAGCTTTATTGTTCTTCCAATGTCATTTTAGAAAAAAACATTTACTTTTATATATTACCTACGACCTACGTCATTTCTTAACGTTTGGTACATTAGTTTGGCTTCGATTTTACATAAGTCTTGGTTTTTGAACATGGAATCTTTTTTTTCTGTCCAACTTTGTGTTTGAGCAGTTCATCGGATGTTACATTGTGCCTCATGTAGAAAGCGCCAACTAGCTGATTGTTTTCTGCTTATAAAAACTCGAAAGGTAATCGGTGCTCGGACCAATCATTGCTTTCTACTGCGACTAGGCAGTCTCTGCTGTTAATTACGGCCTTGTTTGTAATTGCTCACAAACGATTCTAACGAAAACCAATCAGGCTGCAAGGCCGTTGAGTTTTTATGTGCGATTGCGTAACTATGGGGTAAGGGGATTGCCTTGCTTTTCGGTCTTTCTTTCATGCAGTTTTCTCGATGAGTTGGTAATGTCTACTTTATTTGTTTTTTTACCTCAGGTAGTAGATATTGCGTTGATAACGCGGGCAGTTGAAGGTCTGGAGGTCTATCCAATGTCGATGCTGCAGCTCCAGGAGACGAAAGTAGCCCAACTCCTCCAGACAATCCGCCATCAAGTTGACAGCCCCCTCCAAAAGCGGATTCGCGCCATTATCAAGGCCTGGCAAAAGCTCCTCGAGCCGGATTCTGCCTGTGCTACTGTCATTCCACTTCAGCGTCCCTGCAACCCCTCAAACCCGATTTCCCAAACCGCGGCAGCGAAACATTCAGCATCCAACAATAGATCGTCTCCCAGGTCAAATGGCCAGCACAAACCCCCTCGTAACCACTCCGTGACGAATCCTCTCTCATCCTACCAGCAGGCACCTTCAAAACCATCTCCTGCTTCCTCTTGTCCTCGTAAAAAGGTCTTTGCTACCTCCCTCAACGGTTCTCCTCGGTCCATAAATGGACGTCCCCTGACGACGTCGACGACAGAACCGCCAAAACTCGCAAAGGTAAAATCCACCGCAGAACTAATTCAGGCAGCAGGCGGGTGCATCGATTCAGTGACCAAGGACAGGATTCTGAGCAATAGAATCGCCAAGGAGTCCGACGAGTACCCGCGCCTGGTTCCACAGGCTATTCGGTCCTCACGAAAAGCCAAGAATGAACCCAAACAGCTCCCCTCGGCGAAGTCGGTGCCCCTCGCGGACCGGGGGGTTCCTGCGCCATCCCCTCAGCGTAATCCGCCTATTTCTGCTGCCAAGTCAGAGATGATTGCCAAGTTTCTGGAGCACTCGGTTGTTGACGTGGCAGCCCCGGCGGCCACTCCACGCTCACATTCAGCCGCCACCCCCGCGTCCGTCGCTCCACTTCCGTCCTGTGATCCACAAAAGAAGCACCATCATCACAGCCACCGGCACGCCAAGGAGAAGCGAAAGCACAAACGGAAGTACCCTGACGAATCAGACGAAAAACCCTCCACAATCCCCATTACCAATCGAATGGACGATTGGCCAGAGCTTCCTCCTCTGACCGACGACGTGCTAGCATCCGCTTTTGAAGAGCGCCATTCCGGCGACACACCGTCTTTTGCTGATTTGGTGAATCTGAGGAATGTAGGCGCTCTGCTAGACGGTTCCTGGCCCGAAGTAAGTGCCACTCGCGACGACGATAACAACCTCCAACCCATGACAGCACTGTATTCGGTCGACATGGGCGACGACCAGCTTGTACACATATTGCCATGGACGAATCTCTCCGACTATCGGCAGACCTTTTTTCCTTCAGGCGCGGTAACAGATCTGGACCGTTTGATTGACTTGCCCGATCCCTGGTGACGTGCTCGCTGCGTCACCCCCGCGCACGCTCCCTAACACCGCATTTAGTGTAACCATTCTGCTCTCGAGCCCCGAAACGTTTGGCATAGCCGAGGGTGCTGTTAAGCCCTCGGTTATTTGGTGATATTCCCACTCCTATCCCCTCCCCCCGAACCCTTCCAACATCCCAGGCAGTGAATGGCAATGCGCTAGAACGCGAAAGCTTTGTGAAGATTGCCAGGCTGTGGCGCGAACCTACTCCCAGCATGAGTTATGGTTACTAGAGTGTGAGCTCTCGTGGTAGGAGCGGTGGGTTTTTAACTGGCGGAGGCAGGACTGGAGGGCGTTTGTGTGTGCGTGTGTGTATGTGTAGAAAGTAATGCAAGTTTACCACCAACAGAAACGCAGGCTCGCCTTGTTGCGTGCTCATGTTTGACATTCCGCCCGCCGTCTCTGTCCCTCCTTTTCCCATCGTTCCGCCGGCCACATCTCACGTTTATCTGCTTGCCAAATTTAAATAGAACCAAACAACTTACACGCATACACACAAACACAATCCTATCTTTTTATACTACTATATATATATACGGCTGTTTCTTTGAAAATATTCAAAAAAAGAGATTCCTTTTCAGTGTGACACTTGAAGGTTTTTTTATTTTCGATTTGTGGCGAGCCTGATTGGTGGATTTGAATTTGGCGGGGTGTTTAAGTTTTCCGGGTTGGTGAATTTCGGGGATTTATTCTAGGTGATCGGTGGGGATAGGATAGTTTCACGCCAATATCAGCGTGAATTTCTTTGTCTCGGAATTCCCAATGACCTTTTCCCGTTCGTCTCTTGTGCGTTAAATAACTGTGACTGATGAGTTAAACTTGGCCACTTTACGCTACTCAGATATCCGAAATCGATGACCAGGAATGGCAGAGACACAACAGTTCACCAAATAGCTCAATCGAGGTTTGTTTGCCACGCAATTGCCCATAAAAATGTTTCGGACTAGATGGGGTTGTTATTCGGTACAGTCTGGATGAATTGTCAGATGAATGAAACGGGTGGCATGGGGGAGGCACGCACACAACGGTGTGTGAGCGGAGGGTGTAGCAAGATCGATAGTGACACTGCAAAAAGGAGGCCAGTGTGGCGACTGGGCTAACGGATGTGTATCACCAGGATTCCCTACAAACCCACCTTCGTCACAGGCACTATAGTCTGAGAATCTAGAAGGCTTCAGGAGTGGACTCTTCGCCAATGACCTCTTTCTGTCTCACTCCTGCGCAGTTCCAGAAAACGTTCCTCTTTGGCCACGAGTATGCACTGCGGTGAACTCCTGATCTGCGTATTTCCGATTTCTAAATTCCTCACGCATGTCCAACGTCCAGATATCGTTCATACATGTACTCTGCAATACAACGAGCGATTAGATTGTTAATCCAATGTAATCGTTTAAACCTGTTCAGTAATCACATCTCAGAGATAATCGCATTAAATGTCCACATCTAACTGATAAAAAAGTTTTCTTCCGACTCTCACCTAACGACCTCGCGACTTTTTCTTGATGAAGCACAATTGTATTGGCTGGACGAATTTAGCACTACCTTACAACCCTCTATTTAACAGCCCAAGACAACTCGAGAAGAGTGGAAAGGAGGCGAGAGCGGACACGACCGGTTTACTGGCACCAAAACAGCTAAGTGGCCTTGTGTGCGATGAGTACGCGTGCGTAGCGGGCGCATGATGACAGAGGCCAATATCAAAAGGGGTGAGTCATTGGTCCACTCGGGCCCTCATGCACGCACGCTCACGCGGGGTGGCTGTCAGTCCACTACACAATCACCTGAAATAAGGAGATTTTTCCTATTTACAAAATATTGGAAAAACTTCGAAGTACTCGAATTATTGATTATGGGGAAAGGGGTTGTGTGAGAATTCGGGAATCCTGTCAATTTTGGCTTTCTCCTGATTGGTGAATTCAAATCTGACGTGGTAACAGCCTCCTATTGTGCGATTTGCACTAAATTATGATCGTGACCGTGTAATCCCTTACTCTGAGAGGCGTTACCTCAAATTCCTCATGACCCTTGCTCTTACCACATCTGGAATTTTATTTTTTGGTTGACTGTTGTCCTCCGAGGCAACGCTGCATCACTTTTATCCAATAGCATTCGAAGACGTCGAGTATTGAACGCAATTTTGATGACCACTCCTAGACATTACCCTAAACTAATTAGGGTAATTGTATTTATAACTTTCTGTAAAATCTCTAAGGTAATTGATACCGTATTTACATATATATTGTTTTTTTTAAAGTTGATCAAATCGGTAAAACCGATGAAAATTTAAAATAATTTGGATGTGAAGGAAAATCCCCGATGGGATTTTGTAAATGTGATTCTTCTCATGGGAGTGAAGTAGGCCAGAAACTGGGCATGTCTGTGCGTGTTGTTAGAATTACTCGTCATATGCATGCCTTCCATGTTCGCTAACACCAACAAAATGCAGAAAGGGATTTTATGAAACTCTATGGTAGATACTGCAACTCTATTGTAATTTTCTTTGGTCCCCATTTAACCAATCAAACAGTAAAAAGGTCACACTAAACAGGCACAACCGTTTTTCAAGATGGCTTTCATGTAATCAGATTGTGCGTAAGGCAACCAATCAAGTTCTTTTCAGCAGTTCACTCGTAACCAATGAGAATAAAGTTCTAAAGCCATTGAAACGTCGATTGCTAACACGATGTGATTTTCTGTCGTGGCTATCGATCGTTCTGATGTAACTTCCGGCGTGGCAATCGATCGCCAACGCAAACGAGCGCGCCTGGATTTAGCACAATCGCTAATATTCTAAGGTTCTGTTTATGAGTCTAATAGTTAAAATTATTAATTAAAATGGCTTTGCGTGAAAATTTGGTTTTAAATTTGATTTCAATTCTTTACCCTAGGACAGATGTGATGAGAAGGTGAGCCCAAGCTACTCATTCCATTCATCCGACCATTCGGTGATTTGTACTTTACAAGTACACCTAAATAGAATTAATCACAAATTCCATTAGTCAAGCGCGACTTCGAATCCACGCGCACGGCAACAACAAATTATTATATTACCGCTACAAAACAACAATTATAGAGTGTAAAATGGAATGATTAATATAAGGCGTCCCGGAACTTTTAACAATGCATTGCGTAATTCACGTTAGGACTATGACGGTGTTGTGGGCCCAAGCAGGTGGTCTTGAACCACGCCGGGGCCACGGAATTAACCCTGGCTTGACTACGTTTCCCTGATACCCACGATGAAGAAAAAGATCGGAGAGGACGTGGACACAACCGTTTACTTCAGAGCTCAGCCACGTTGGTGTCGTGTGTGGGGTTTGCGCGTGTGTATTTATACTTCGGATGTGTGAGTAATACATGCCCTAACATCGAGACCTAGGTGTGGGGATACTCCAAGATAAATATTCGTGCGAATAAACGGGAGTTGATGATTCGTGCGGTTGGCGACATGCTGCGATAAGGGGAACCCTGTGTCGGAGGTGGAGCGAACGGATTAAGGGGTTGAATAAACACAAATCACGACATCGGGATCTCAAATCCTGTAAGCATGCTCCATCACGTACCGCCCCCTCGTTTTCACAGAGTTCCTTTCAGCTATGTGGGACCGTGTGCTGCAACACCTCTGTGTATGTACCACCACCCACGCCACTTCTTCCACTCACCTGGCCCTTCCAAAATGTGTACTTATGCAAGTTTCTCTCTTGGCATGACCCAGAGCCAGCCCTGAATACACGGACATGACGAAAACACAGCTAGGTTGAACTATCCGGGAAACGGTTGAGTCACAAAATCTCTGGTCTTCTCGGCTGCGGTGTGGTTCAAGACCACACACCAAGTCCCACAAAAATTGTAGGCTAACTGGATGTTGGTTGGGTAGCACGTGTGCGAGAAGATGCGAGTGAATTATCACAGTTGTGCGTGGGAGATTTTGGGTGGCAGCGTGGTTGCGACGTAGGCGTCAGCTCATTTGGCAATAAGGTGCTTATGTACCGGTGAGATGTCTAAAATGGGGGGCTGGTCGTAGGTGATCTGATTTTAATCTAAGCTAAATTAAAGGCAAAAGTCAGGTGTTGAAGAAGCGTCGAGCCAATGGCTGCATGTAGTGGTTGAAGTGAGGGAAGCCGTTAATTAGCTCCTCTCAGTTGTGTCAGTGCGCAGACAATTTAGTCACAGACATCCACGGGAGACATGTGTCCACACAGATGCATGCTAAAGCATGTTTGCATGACCAATGGAGACGCAGAATGAGGGGGTACCACACAACCACACAGACCGTGGTAGGGGTATTTCTCAGGCATTTGGACATGCGTTGGCGTAGGTAATGACCTTCGAGTAACACAATTCACGTCAGCTCTCCGTTTCGACGGCGGGATAAACAATTTCCTCCAATGAGATTATGTGGCACGTTGCGATTGGTCGTCGCCGGGTCGAGGTTGCAGCCAATAGCATTGCCTCGTGAATGTCTCATCTCAGTGTTCACAGTTGGCAACGCGTTAGAGCCACTGCAGTAGAATTTGGCGTGGGTTCAAATAATCTAAATTCGCGGTTGGTGAGTGGTGTTCTTGGTCATTTGAGAAAAACTCAACCGTTCGCCATTGTCACTAACGCTTTCCCGACATTTGACCTAACTGGCACACCGTTACACACGTGAAGCATTAAAAATAGACTCAAGGAACAGTAGTTTCTCTATTAAATCATTAGTTATTGTCTCTTTTTACAAAGTAATTAAGTCTTAAGCAAAATCAAGTGAATACTGGTGCTAATTACGTCGCAATAGCAGTTTGCTACTAATGGCAACAAGTTTGATGCCCCTTTTGTTCCAATTCACCGCCACAGTTAAATTGTTGGTGTGTGGATCGATAAATTCGACTCTGACAAGGACTGGTTGGTTGAAAATCATCTTTGCCGATGAGTCTAGTCATTTTGATTGGAAGGCTAAAACATTTTAGTGATTCGAGGGAAGGAGAACTTTTTGGGGTATTTCGTTTGACAAAATAATGTTTCCGGTGACATAATAAGCCACAAATTTTTAAATATTTTCTTAGTTTCAAAAAGAACTTGTTTTAATCTGCCTGAAGCGTCTCCTGTCTATTCTTTTAATGATTTAAATGAATCTATAATGGCAACTACGGTATGTTTTGTATCAATAATGGGTTTAAAGTGAGTACCAGACGGGGTGAACTAATTAAAAATAATTATTTTCTCACTTTACGAAAACCTAAAAGGCACTATCTTTGCTTTATGTAAATTTTTAAGCTAGAATTGTGTGAATCAAGTGTTTAAAAATCAAATATATAAGCACCATCATCTCGTGACACCCACAAATGCGACCACAGATTCTTCTAAATACGCCGAATTCGGATCCAGGGTGACAAAGCGCATTGACTAGAATATGCCCCACCTTCGTGAATTGCGACGTCGAGATCACCAGACTGCTTAATCGTGTTGAGTCTCGTTCACTAAATCTGTTGCCGCCTACGCTGGCATCCTGCCCCTTTTTACAGCTCCCCCATACCTCAAGGGGTCACGTTTGACTCCATGTCCCGCCTCCTGTACTTATTCTACCCACTCATTTGCACTTTTAACAAGATGACCCTATTTGAAGAGGCAAACAACCGCTATTAATCACACACGACCTTGAACACACAGTGACGCCATATACAGACCCAGAAAGGTTGAGCCCCCCCCCCCAGTGCATCAGTTCAAACAATGCAAATTTCCGATTCATTCACTTCTATTCATGGTGGTAAATCAGTGCAGAAAGCACCGAATTTGTATAATCAGACATTTCAATGGCACCGTATAATCGTAGCTATCTCAAACAGTACGCTGTTGATGGCTTCAGTAGTGAATTGAAACACCAATTTATTTGGCGATTCACGCATTGGCATGTATCAAATCACAGATCGATTCAGGGGTCTAATGCTTGTAAGGTTCTGCAACCATTTCTAGCCAAACGCTGCCTGCCAGATGAACAGTTGAGTCAAAGGTTTTTCTTCGAATCAAGTGTCATGGAATACTAGTGTGTGGTCGAAATTGTGAGCTTCTCAAGCCAGAACTCGATTCTCGCCGCTAACATGCAATCTGCCGAGGTTCTGACTAGGTAAGCTCGAGTAAAGTTGGAATCATGATAAGATTTCAATGAAATCGAATTAATAACGCATTTGGTCGATTTCGTTGGTTAGTCTTCGTGCATCGCATAGGTTGAATGCGCTACAAGACCAGTAATCATTGCCAGAAGGGGATTGAGCGTTGTCGGTAGACGTTTGAGATAATTTTTAGCTAACAACACAGCCTATTCTACCAGTGGTGTTTGATACGCGATCGTTGCCGTGAGAGGTTTTAGTATGTACGGTCTAATTGGAAGTGGAGAATCACGAGATCTGCCTGATAATTTTCGAAATTCAAGGCCACGTCGGGCCAATGTGAGAGTCGTGTGATCAGACCTGGTTGGGCAATGGGAGGTTTGCGACCCGAAGTGGTCGGGAAGGAATGGAAACCGCTGGTCGTCGCCAACAGATTTGGCGGGCGTTTGGAGATTCGGGGTCGCCTGAAATCGACTGCGATTAGAGATGGTATGAAGCAAGGCGAAAAGACTGACTATTCAGTTAAGGCTTCCTCAAAGAATATAAGGAAGATCGCCAACTGCTAACTCGTCGAAGGTTGAAATGCATTCACGGTTGGCATCACTAATTAATGAAGACCATGTGATTCTAAACCCAGCCGGAGGCGCCACGTTGCCATTACAAATGATTAATATATAGTACTAATGTTGCACTCAGTAGATAAATGGTCGGTAGTGCAGGTGAACCCGGAAAGTACAAATGGTTGACGGGCATGGAGGCTAAGATGGGAGTTAAGTGTGGGGAAGAATTCTACCACTGTGTAAACGAATGCGAATCAACACGTTTCACTAGGCGTCAGGGGCTAAATCGGAGCGTGGAGTTGCATTAGTATCAAAACTTGCATAAATGTCACGTAAATGAATGCTAGAAGTCTTGTGAATCATATTAAATCACGTCCAATAACCAAATTGTGGCAATTTTCTTATCGATTTTGCTACACCGTCTACTCAATCCACCCTGTGCGTGTGTTACCGCCCATGTTACCCAGACTGGTGCACCCAGACAGTATCGATCGATAACTCCATTTAGTCAGACACGTTTTTGTGGTTTATTGGCGCGACTAAAATAACCAGGCCGAGCTATTTGGTGAACGGTCGTAACTCTGCCATCCCTGGTCCTCGACTTGCGTCCCGGGTACATGAGGAGCGTAAACTGGCCAAATTTAATTTAGTGGCCACGTAACGAGGCCAACAGCAGTTGGTGATCCAGGCGTGATGCCCGCAAAACAGAACAATTACAACATCATTCGAATACTTTCTCAAGAGCCGTGAAAAAGAGAAGCTCAACACCTGTTTTGATTTGTTTGTTTTCTTACCTACTTTATTATTTATCTCCTGAATATTTCTTAAGATTTAAAATTCAAATTTTTCTGGTGCAAAATCAGGAATCCGTCATTGAATGAAACCACTAAATTTCCACATATACAATTTTACCTGCCAATGTGAACAGTGTGTTTGCAAGAACTAAGGAAAGTGGCACTTACACTGGCCTCCAGTTGGACAGAGGATTTTGGTACTGACTGGCAATGACTATTCCCAGAGCTAACCTGGTCACAGTCTCTACAAAACTACTCAGCTATCATCCATTTAACGGAGGATTTAACAGGAGTTAAATATTATTAAAAGTGATTTGTCATCAAGCTAACAAAAACATATAACACTACTATTACGATGAAGTTAGTATCCTTTAATGAAAAACCAATTTCAGACTTGCAGCCCTCATTAGGGCAGCTCATGTATTTCACAAATATCACAGAATATTAGCGGACAGGAGTTTGCATTTTTACCTGATTAATGGAAAGAATTTGCTGGCTTATGCCAACGAAATATGGGAGACTCCGATGGTCAAAGAAGTAAGGCCATATGTACCATTAAAGCAGCAGTGTTGAGCAATTTAAAATATTTGAGGCCTCATGGCATAAAATTTGTTGATGTTGACTTCTGCTTTCTTAGTCAATAAATTGCTTTTACTAAATTTAATGTACTAAATCATGTGAAATTTCTCCCGATGCCAATAACAGGGTGATTACTGCAAGAGTTTAGTGAAAGAGTTCTATTAAAGTGTTTAAAGTATATTGTTGGCTTTGCACATTTTAAGGTAATTGTAATGGTGTTCGTAATTAAATTTTATTGAAATTTATTCAAATAGGAAAAGTTAAAATTTCATGAATTCAAAAAATGACACAAGCGTTTTCAAAAGATAAAAATTTGTTCCACAAGTAAGAAAATTGACATATTCATAACAGTGTGCCATTTTCTAGGAACCATTGGACTTCATTTAATCCATATTTTCTGCGTGATAGCTCGCGTGCTTTGTGTTATTTGCGGTGTCGACTTTTTGCATATAGCATAACTGCTTTTTTCAAATAAGAAAAAGCTAACAGAAGCCACTGATTTTAATTGCCCTTATAATACCCAAGTTTGTTTAAACCCACTATGTGTCAGTCTCTCTCTGATTGTAGTAAATACTCCCCTGGATGAAAATGACCTTCATAATTGGTTTCTGGTTTTAGCATTTTTAAAGACGTTGTAGCGTTTTGCACATAGAACCTAAAGTCCAGTCTGCCAATTAATTTTGCTAAAGCCAAAAAAAGATGAACAAGGGAAAATTAATACACCTATAGCATTGATAAATTGCACTAGGTTTATTTCAAAAGACATTAGTTCGAAAATGCAATTCTTTCTTTTACCAATAACCAAAGGACATTTTCGTTAATTGCTTACAATTTTTCCAGGTGAATAAATGCTTTGTGATAATTTGTACGCAAGTTATTATGTGGAGGACCTTTGCCATAATCCATATTCCATATTAATTGCCTCAATATATACTGATCTCCATGTGCATAAAATTTGAAAAGAATTCAATAGTCACTTAATTTTTAAATTGTCAGTTTAGACAAGAGTTTTCTGGTGAAAACATTTCATTTCGTGCTATAACACGTCAATGTTCGAGATTTAGCTGGCGGTCTGATTTTTAGAGATATCTTTAAAAACGAAATTGACGTGTTTGTTCCTTTTTCGGTTTGTTTGAAAACATTGGAATTTGTTTTTGTATAATAAAAAACGCCTAATTGCATTTTAATTTAAAGTCGGCTGCGTCAATTTACAAAAATCATGCATGGTAATAATGTGGAAAACTAAATAGCAGTTTTTACTTTAAGGTGACAGTAACTGAGTAAAAATGGATAAAAACAAACGTGTAGATTTCAAAAAATTATTAGGTAAATAGGTCAGCAGATGCCTTTCCTCTCATTCTCACCAACTATAGAAGCGTTTAATGTGACTGGCTAACACAAATGCGTGACAACATGCCACAGAAAATGCAGGATTTAATAGGAATTAATTATTTGCATTTTTAACAACCAATGGTTACTATATTGGTCAATGTCACTTAACACTTATTAGACTAATTTCTATTTCAAGTTCTCGGCCGATCCATAATCGTCGCATCAACTCGTAGTCATCACTTCAAATAAATGCTCACCTTTGACTAGTCAAGTTAAAAATTTCTATAAATTCACTCTTTTTTCCAATTATTTAGTATCAATTTTGTCCATTTTAATGGTACGTATACAACCTTACGCAACAGTCTATTAGTTTGTGTAGCCAAGATCTGCTAATATTTAACAAGTAACATCTATGCGAAAAATACCAATCTTCTCTGACACGATTTTCCACTTTAGCATACCATCAAACACTTTGATGTTCTTGGAGAGTCCTTAAAGAAGCTAAATTATTAATCGTACTTTTCAGTGTGTAGTTTATTTTAAAAAAACCTTCATTTGAAAGAAACAATTTTACAGTTATTTTCCAGTGTTAACGTGCACAGCGATGAATAAAACTACAAACCATCTGCTTGCTTCAAACCGCAGACTAGAACTGTGTCAGTTCAAAACGCGTCCGCGTACTCGAAGTGAACGCGACTGGTCAGCTCCAACCATGACCAAGGATTGGCTCGCTGTACACGGTCTACGTGCAATGCACGTAACTGCTGACGACTTGAAACACGTTTTAAGGGAATGTGAATCCCTTAAAACGGCCAATCTCCAGACAATGATATCTGCACTCTACGAGTTTGAAGACCGAATTCACAATTTACTACTGAAAGTTAATCGTCGTATGCAATGGATGCTGCAAGTAAACAGTTAATGAGTTTAGTTGCAGTTTGGCAATCAACGCTTCAATAATAAACTAAACAATAAACAAGAACAAATCACTTCGTTCATTCCTAAAATAGCACTTGGTAAAAGGCTCAATGCTCTAAGCAATATTTGCAAAATTTTGCCTATATTTTCAGCCAACTTTTTAATTTTAAACGAGTAAAATATGCAAAATTGCAAATCTACTCATTTATTTAAAAGGAATTTTGTAAAGAAAATTGCGTTAGACCAATCACATTTAAAGTTTAAGGGACTTCATTAACCAATCACGGTCTTCCTTTGTGTGTGAATGCGATTCGTTTGGGCTTGAAGTCAGTAGTTCTCAGGGTAAACTGCCAGTACTACTGCAAATCTACAAATCTGAGTTATATTTCATTTGTATTTTCCAAGTCAACTACTAACATTGAAGACTTTTTGCTAAGGGCAGCAGACGTGTGTTTGGCGTGCAAGGGGCCAGACGCCTCGGTTTGCTAATTGACGCCTCCGACAAGCTCCTCTGCTCCCATCTATCTGGACACCTACGAAGGTGCCTCATTCAGCTGCTCAAGGATCAGATTGCCCCTCACACAGAGGTGTTTTACGTGGCAACGTACGGATCCACCGTGACGCCTCTGTGGGAGAAACCACGGAAGATCACGCCAAACGTCCTGTTGGAAGCACAGCACTTCTTTGGTGTGTCCATGCAGAACAGTGGCGCGAGCAACCTTATGGCCGGCGTTAAAACCGTACGAAATTCATATCGATTTTTCGCAGTTGAGGCATCAGTTTAGAATGATTTTGGTGAGGCATCTGTCAAAAAAACTAATTGTCCGAAGGCAATTTGAAACCAATAGAATGATTGGCTAGAGCAAGGGTACCATTACGTGCTGATCCAAATCCCACTTTGTTCATCTACGTGATCACGGTGTGTACTTGGAGCATCTCTGGAGAATTTGTTGAAATTAAAGTGAACAGGTACCAAAATCCATAATTTCCTGGTGTTATTCGATGATTGCAACTGCGGCCACTTGAACTGTGCAACAAGAATTTCTCTGGATCTTGAATTAACCGTTTAAATCTCGTCTGTGAGAAGCAGGATAACCAATCAAAACACTGATCAATCACGGACACGTAAACACGACAATATAGCACTACTTACCGTGACGTGATTGGACCATGCGTAATCTAATTCAAAATCGCAATTATGCACTCTGAAGAGGTCATCCTGTGTTGTCTAATCGATAAAATTCAGAGAAATCGATAAAACGATAAGGAAATGCCTTTGCCCCCCAGATGCTTCGAGTTGGACGTCTGTACAACCTGGACCAAGTCACGGTCGTCGTAGGAAGCCTCCCCGACCAAGAATACAGTCAATTGAGAGAGTACGTGGGGCAATGCGATGACAAAGACTCCCCCATGGTTTGGTCCTTTGTGTGTTTTGACTGCCGCGACGAACGTGTCTCCGACATTCTCAAACGACTGACCGAAATTAATTCATCCACCTTCTATTTGCATTGCTACACACCTCAAAGCAATGAAGGCATCCGACGTAGTAATGAAATTCAACTGCTGGAATGTGAGTTATCGGAAGCAAAGGTGAGTCTGAATGCGATTGGTGATTGATTTTTTATTGATTTTTCGATAGAAACCACTTAAAAGTGCAACACCTTTGAGCATTATCCCACAAAAAGTATACCCACACTAGTTTGTTTAAATGTTGTCCTAATTCCGGAACAGTGTTTGGCGGAGGTCGTGGGGAAATTTCGCCTGGAACTTGAAAGAGGGCAGACGGATTCCATGGGAGAAGTGCTTGGGGTCCCCGTGCTGCCGCCTGAAGACGTGGACGAACTGGTACTCTGTCTGATCCAAGGTGGCACGTTTCGCCCGGAAACGTCCAAGTGTTGGCTTAGCCGGCACGGTTTGAGGGCGAAAAAACTTGACTTTTTCCAGGTAGGCCAATAAAACTGATGAATACGCAACTCGTGGCCACTGCGAAAAATGCTCACAAAGATCCCAAGTAGTTTTTTTATATAACGTACACACTACTGCTAGTTGAATTAAGTAATAACTCATAAGCTGGAGCCAGTTATGAGGTGAATCTACCATAAATCAGCTTTCGATAAATAATGCTGAATTCCTTGTATCCTCCTTATTTCATCGAAATTCCAGTTGTTTATCAGTCTTAATATTTTGACCCTGAAGGCGATCTCACTCTCTGGGTAAATAAATAGGAATAAAAAGACATCAGAAGGAAGTTATTAATCGCAGATTTTCTCTCCTGTGAATTTGCATCATATGAAGATAAGCACCAATCACAACTACCTATTTAACAACCAATATATTTTGAAGTAGTGAATCACGTTCATTGGATAATCAAAATTCAACTTAGCGTCATGTGAGCGCATTGAACCAGCAAAACAACGTGTCAGGACATGAATTATTAGCAGGATTCAGTATAAGGCTTTAGACTAACAATAGGCTACATGTTCCTTTCCTACGCTTGTCGAAAGAAAAGATTTTTGCCAGTATAATTCAAGACTATCGCGATCTATGGCTTATTTTCTAGATTCAAACGGTTAGTTGGGTGATTCCGACGCGTCTGTGCAGGATACTTGCTAGAGCTAACCTTGTTCCTGTTTGAATTCTTGTCCTAGATGCTGACACCGCACGCCTACCCACAAACATCGATATTTGTGGACTCAATCGGAAGGGAGGTCACGGGAAAGGTATACGCAGACACCATGATTCAAGTGGAGTGGCCTAACGGAACCACGAAAAACGTCTACCTGAAGCTGCCTATTCTCTACGACTACCAGAAAAAGCTCACAGAACATGTGCGTGCTTCTTTCACTTCTTTTAATGAATTAGTTTCCAGAATGTACCAAATTAGGAGAATGTCTGGGTTCAGTTAATCAATCAGTTATGACTAATATCGATTGGCCAACCCATTTTCACTAAATTTTGGATTCACCAGTGAGTTGTTAACGGAACTAGGAGGCGAATCTTCATCTTCTAATTCTCTTTAAGCTTCGAAATGTCTAAATCATGTACAAAACCAGTTCCTCGTTCAAATTTAGGGCACTCGTTTCTGCTTAAACGATTTTGAATTCTTATAGAAACCATTAGGCAGGGACTCCGATGCAGATTGCGTGTGCCCTAATTTTTAGATCACTCTGCTAGAGAAACGAATTTCATGGTTAAAACTCGGCAGCCGCAAGGTTTTCGGTAGTCTTGTGGAAGAGCATGTTGTTGTCCTCGTGGATCTGTCAGCTGACAATGCCCCAGTTCTGGCGCAGATCAAGGCCTTTCTGAAACAACTCCTGGAGCACCAGATTTCCAAGTTTGTCCGATTTTTCAACATAATCGCTGTCGGAGGAGAGGTCGAGCCGTTGTTTAAATCCCTCTCCAAGGTCACAGCCCAGAGTCTGCAAGAGGCCTGGAAATGGGTGCTGGCGAAGGGCACGGCGGGAACTCGAAATGTGATGGCTGCTTTGCGGTAAGAACTCCTTTTTCCAATGACACAATTTCAGTCTGCTGAGGACTGTCTATTTAAGAGCACCTGATCGTATTCGCGATCATTGATTGAACAGCACACGAGCGTTAATTTAATTGGCCACGAGGTAGATGTTCATAAATTCGATTGGTTGATTCTAGCTCGAAGTGCCGGCATGGGGCGCAGCCATATTGAATTGCATAATGAGTTCAACCAATCCTCTGTCTGCGTGTGTTCAAATTGACTAGAAAGATCAGTGGCCAGACGGGTAAAGGACTGGATTAGCAGCATTATACAGTATTCGGCAGAGACATTATGGGGAATTTCGATGGACGAAAGCTGACAGATGATTCTAACTTGTATTGATAATTGTCTATGAGTTACACTTACCTTTTATTGGTTCTAACTACAGCCAATGACCTCTGTTCTCAAGGGCCTTATTAACATTCCCACCCGCCTAATGACACCTTGTAAAATCACCCAATCCGAATATGGATAATTGAGGCTGTGTAGACATTCCAAATATCGGAAGTTGCAACCACCCACTAACAGTCCGACCTTGTCTTCCTTAATGCCTTATCCATCCTTGTCTCTGGTTGGCCATTCAAATCGACGCAGATAGATGATTGGCTGAATTCACGGAGTGATCCAATTTGCAGGTAGTGGAAAATCATGTCTAACTAATGAATGAAAGGGTGTGTTCACAATGCTGTGTCGCGTTAATTAATCACGCAATGTTATTGGAATAAGCTAATCAGGATCGATTAGTGAGCCCACCACTTTGCTTAAATGGTTCTCCCATTTTTCTCTACACCATGGCAACGTCCACAACTATCTCCTATTTAATCAAGCCACCAAATTTTCACGAGTTGTTTTAATGTTGAATCTGCTTTTCATTCCATTTAAAGTAGTGTTCCAACGAAAACAGACTAGTGAGACAAAGAATTGGGTAGAGGTAACATGGCAGGCGTTACGCTGACTCATCCAAGCAATCAATATTGCACATTTGATCTAATGAAATGGATGCATAGAGCTTTATTGCTCGACGCGGACCAATTTGATTTGCCGGAAAACTGGAAGCGATCTTCCTCTCCATTAGCCTTTCAGCCTTCTTTTTCAAAATCAAGTTTGGATTGTAATAAAAGGTGTTGAGAACATGTACGTCATTCATGTGTGACATCACGCGCAACAATTTCCGATGCCGATGGGTCACATTCGTTGCAGAAAACAATGACAAGATGCGGTGAAATTACGTCTACTGAATATTTAAAAGTAGTTGAGAGCGTGTCAAGTGGATTCCGTGGACGATGATTGAAAACAAACCTAATGCTGCCTGTTTGTCAGGGTTGAATTTTAAATAATATGCGAAGTGTGCTCTTAACATAATCAACATCTTTTTTTCACTTCAGCCTTGTAAATGACATGTTGAACAGCACTCAGTTTCCCTCGGTGGGATTGTACCTCCTCACCACCGGTTCTCCAAATCAGGAAACCGCTCAACTAACGGAGTATTTGGAGCACTTGAATGTCAAAATCAGCTGCTCGCTGCACGTGGCATTCTTTGTTCCCGATTTCAAATGCGAAAATGATGCCGTCGAAGCAAAAATCGCAGAATCCTTGAGGTAACCTGCTCGATTTTTAATTAAGGCCAGGTAGCTTTTCAGGCATATGTTTGAGTTCAATAGCCTGAGGTTTGGCTTATTGCTTCCGATGACGAATAATTAGTTTGGGAGCGACTGAATTCTAGCATCTGGGATGCCATGCAAACTCTTTATCAAGTATAAATGTCATGCTACTACATTAAAATTAGTAGTCAAGTTACCATTCGTTAAATTGTTTAATGGACTGTCGTCCACTAGGTGCCAATCAGCGATGTAGAAGACATTTTACAATGGTTTTCGAATGTTACCATGGTCCATTTTTTTAAAACCTACAATGGGATTTCAGCACAATCGCGCACTCAACCGGCGGGAGATTTCATTGGTTCACGGCGCACTGCTTGAAAACCAGCGATGATGTTGACTTACTTATGGCAGAACTTGCATCATCCCTTCGATTCTCCGACGAAAACAACAAACTTATCGCCAGACTCCAACAAACGACACGAAAAGAAGGGATTAGTTTCCCATGGTAACCAGTACATTGATTTAAACCGGTCTTTTCTGTAGTTCAGCCTCAGAATGCGGCTGCGAAGAGCTTCGTAAACCGAGGACTCAAAGAAGACACTCTATCGATTTTACGACTGTCCCAACGACGGCGTTAGTTGAGGGGAGGAAGAAATCGATAAGAGATCGAAATGCCCTTTGTGCACAAAACGCCACAAAACCCAAGGTTAAGACTAAAACCAAGAGTTTTTCAGAGACAGGGCTGACGCGAATCCCGTCATTGAATATTCAATTACCAATTAAAGAAGAGACGGTGAGTGGACAAGTCAAAAATTCCCTATCAGACATCTACTAGTGATACCAAAATAATGAAATTTGCTGTCCACTTCATAATGGACTACAAAACCAAGAATTCCCTGAGAATCGAAAAAAGCAACAAGATAGCTTTTTAAGCGTTTATGTTTGAGTTCAGTAGCCTGAGGTTTGGTTTATTGCTTCCGATAACGAATAATTAGTAGCAATTAAATTAGGCGAGATTGAAATCTGGCACCACAAATGCCACGCCAACTCACTTTCATCAAGTCTAAATTTAATGCTACTTTATTAAAATTAGTAGTCAGATTACGATTTGTAAAATTCCTCAGTGGGCTATCGGTGATTCGGTATTTATTCGCTTGTTAGAAAGAATGCCAATCTGTGGTGCAGTAGAGACTTTACAGAAAGCCACAAAACCCAAGATTAAGACCAAAACCAAGAGTTTATCAGAAACAGGGCTGAAGCGTAGGAATATTCGATTACCAATTAAAGAAGAGAGGGTGAGTGCACGAGCAGAAAAATTTTCGAATCAGACAACTCTTAGTGACACCTAGACAACGACTGTTGCTCACCACTTCACAATGGACTGCAAATTTAAGAAATTAGTTGAATACTTGATTTTAAATGCGTGAACGCTGCCTTTCTAAATCTTTTTATTCTTCCACATCAAGATCTCCAGCAAAGCGTGGATTCGTAAGTACGGGTTGAAGTCGATGAGATTGAGACTGAACAAGCTTGTCAGTGGAACGCGGTGTTGCCACCCGACTCTCCAAAACGCAACCCAGACATACTCTTCTGCGTTGTTCCCTTCAGTTGAACCCAAAGAGCAACTGCAACACCACCACCATTCCACGCCGCTGGAACTGCGTAATCTAATACAATCGGTGAGTGTGTTTCTGCAGGCACTTATTGACGGTGTTCTGTGTAGGTCAACATCCTGATGCATCGACTCACACAACGTCTAAATTGGCTTCTCTTGAGTCCGAACGCTGAGCTTGGTGTAGTGACGGAGAGGTGTGCAATTCTGGTTGTTGACATATCCGGCTCCATGGCACCACAACTACCGAGGCTAAAACAACGCATCAGCACAGTCATTGAACGGCAAATCTGCAAGTAATCCCATCTTTGGTCATTTTCTAACAGCTAATGCGATATGTAGACGACACCTGGTTTTCAATGTGATCGCTTTTAATGACAAAATATTGGTCTGGTCGGCGTCAGGACCGATCAAGGCTACGAAGACGGCGAGTGCAGAGGCCATCAGTTGGGTGGAGTCGTTGAGAGCGTGGAGCGGGACGAACACTCTAGATGCAATGCTGGAAGCCCTGGAACAGGCAGCCATAATTGCCAGACGGCGGTCGGTGGGCATCTACCTCATCACCGATGGCTGTCCGGACACAAGTTTGGCCAGAACTAAGGAAACGATTATCCAAAAGTACCGCGAAATCAAAGCACCGCATCCAATCACTGTGAACACGATCCTGTGTGGCGCAAAACGCGAGTAAGAAAGCTGATTGATTTATCAGTGAATGCCATGGCTCACATATTATAAAATTTAAGAAATCCCGTGATACAAATTTCGACCAACACACCTAAACAAAGCTAGATGATCCATATTTAGTATTTCACAAGTTAATTTTGTACGCTACGAGCAACTTGTGACGGCTTGTACTTATCATAAAGCAACTTGTGCTTTTGCCTACTCCTCAGCCATCTTGAGGAATTTCTGCGAACACTGTCGAGGTTTACGAAAGGTCGCTTTCACAGTGCCGACGAAGAGCGGCAAACGGTTTCGTGCACCGGCGACTTAGCGTGGGCAGCCAGTCAATCGGATGACACGGGCATCATTGTGAAAGAGATTAAGAAGTGTCAGCAGCTACTGCTCCGAGCACATTTCTATCAGTCAATCCCAACAATTCGCGAAGGACAGTAAAGGCGTGTTTCTGTAAAGCTACAAAATTGTTGTTGCGTTAAATATGCTGAAAACATTTATTAAAGCGTACATTTCGGAATCTGTCTGCCGTTTGTGATTCAAATCTCTTTTGGGGATATCATTATTTCCTGTGTTTGAATTCATATTTACTGATTTAGTCGACTAACAGAACCTTACAATAGGACGTAACGAAATGATAAAATGAACTGTAGAGCATAAGAAATACAATGAGATTTAATGTACAAGTACCACATCAAATCCAAGAAAATATTACACATCACTGTGATTGGGATGTTTTGAAGTGCTGAACAAAGTAATATAAAAGAGGAACTGGCGTATCTACAGGCGGATGTGCTGTTGTCGACTTTGGTATAGAGTTCTTTGAAACGGCCCGTGCAGATACGGTAGGTTTCACGTTAAGACACTGACAAAGCAAGCGCCTGGAAATCGGATCGTGTTTGTGCTTTGCTTCGCTCCGGAAAACAGACTCACTGAATTTAAGGCTGTGTGTGAAAAAAGGCATTTTAGGAACTAAAGATTTTTTGATAAATTTTACAACAATCAAAAGTGCCACCTGAATTACTCGTTTCAAAACATATGTTTCTACAATTAAAAACTGGCAATAAAAATCGATTATTGCTTAGTCATCCGTCTGAAAGTTTCATAATATTAAATCACAATTTACATGAAAACGATTCTTGATGGTAAAAAAAAAGAAGTTCTGGACTTCATGTTAGAAAATTGTAAACATCCATGATTTTGGTTTAACTGGTCAAACAAGCTGCCTTGTAGAATCTAAAATGAGTTCACACTAAGAGAAATAAATCATGGATAGATACGATCATGTATTTTAATAATGTTGACTTTCATCAAAACGCGAGAATATGAGGTTTAATTTAAGGGGCCCATACTGATCTTGCAAAAATTTCAAACCATTGGATTAAGTAATTTAATTAGAGATTAAAGTCATTAGAAGATCAATCCAGAAATCAACCAATACTATCTGTAAATTTCTTTTAATTTAAAGAATATGAAAGCAAACTAACCTATTAAATCTTAAATATTCCAGTATTAACTCATTGACAATATAATTAATATCATCGCTTTGAGCATCCGGAGTACACTCTTCCTGGGGAGCCTCCTTATTTAATGCGAAATATATTTCGGATTTAGCTTGAGCTTCAATTCGCTGTAATCCACCATTCTTACCGAGAGCAGCTTTCAGTGCGTTCTTAATGTCGTCTACTGTTGCCATAACAACTTACCAAACATCGCGCTGTGCAGTAATTCAAGGCTACTTGCCTTGTCCGTTTCCGAAATCATTGATTCAAATCTCCAATTTTTTTCAACTTTATGCGAACTTCTACTAATTTTACTAAATAGATAGACAATCGCCTGCTTCTGAGTAACAACATATTTTGATTTTGTGACTTACCATTGCAGGGAATAACAAAGGCGCATTCCCCTTAAAATTCATATTCACTCAAAATAAACTAAGTCCGAATAATCTGTCTATATACTGTGACATAACGTATAAATCTCTAAAAAATTAAAAACATTTTGGCAGTGTTTCAACTCTAACTGGAACGCTTTTTTAATCCAGATTTGAAATTTTAAAACATGGACTTATACTGGTAAATGAGAATACGCATCAAAGTTAACTTGAATGATTTGGATTGGTCGCCCCCTAAATAATGTTTTGAATTTGAAGTAGGCAAAGGCGATTCTGATGATTTGTGCTCTATATATTATAGAATAAAATTTGGATAATTGCGGGGACGTATTTTGTGCCCCCATAACTTAACGATCAATTTCACGCCTTTAAATAGCATATATATGCTCAGCGATGGTATAAGTTAGTAAGGAAAATCGATGCGTTATCTTCATTTTACAGAACAATTGATGAAATTCTCTGGGTATACTCTTAATTTAATGATCCCGATACCCATATTGCACCAAATTTAGATTTTTTAAGTTACAACAAGCGTGTGCTCTGAAAAAGACATAATGCCGATAAAGAGAACCAATGACAAGACATTAGAAGAAATCGAGCATGTTGCCATACATTATTGACCTACATTTTAGAAGTTCACGAACAATGACACGAGCAGATCAGAAATTGTTTGTTTATAATGTATTCATTTGCGTGCCTTCATTTTTATTCACCGACTGCGAAGAACAATTTCTAAGGCAGCCTGTTTTTCTCATAGCAGGTAAATTTTTATTATGAATCGCTCCCAAAGAAGAATGTTAGGTATCCAATGAGGTAGATCCATCGGAAATATTAATTTACTATAAATCAATATGTGAAACCCAAAATAATCACTAGTTTTCAAAAGCTATTTACACAGCAGTAAAAAACCACTTTGATGTGATCGACAGTGACAGGACCCAGAACAAAGGATTCCAAGAATCAAAAAAGTTCAGGTTCACGATATGATATCGCAAAATCGTCATTTGCACACTAAATTTGGTGAGGAAATGAACGAGAACGCAGTACCAACTGGATCGTCTGGACATTGCACCTCGTAGTCTGATAAAGCGCAGGCGTTGTGGAATAATGCAGTCCCTCTGGATACGAAACGCACCATTTGATGTCTGATTTTGCGGCTCAAATATTTTTCCTGTTTTCAAAAACAAGTTTCCAAGGTGGGCACTGCACTAGTATTCAAAAAGCAGCGTCGGATTAAGGCCCATCCGAAAGTGAGCAATGAGAAGCAAGAACCGCAGGACAGCGAAAATCCAACGATCGCACGCGAGGCGTAAACTAAAAATGCCCCCAAAGCCGATTTTACCATTCCCTTAACTGGATTACGAAATGACTGACATCGCACATCCGGATTAAACGGATTGTGATGCGAAGACACAGACTCAACATAAAGCAAGATTTAAACGCACACAATAAACATGTACTCGAGTCAACAACAGTCTTCCGGGGCACACACGCACACACGAAGTCACGTGAACAGAACGCGCGAACACGCAAGCTAAGGCTATACACAAGGAGCGTGGGGATTGGCGGTAGCGACATGACGGCGCGCAGTCATGGGGGGGACGTTTGCCTAAATTAACATTACACGTGATTTTACTGGTTGGTGGGGGGAGGGGGGGACAAGGGCGCCTCCCCCCGATGGCGACAATGAAATCGATGGAAATGGGAGTGCCGTGGTGGGTGAGGGAGGGTGCGCGAAGCGGAGAAATTACAGGGCACGCGTGCGCGTGTTATGCGTCGCGGGTGCTGCTCTGGCCGTTGGAGACACCCTCGCCCTTGGCCGCGTTCACGATTGCCGCCACAACCGAGGGGTGAGTGAGAATATTGAGGGTCGCGAGGGTGGGGTTATCGCCACCTTGGTAGCTGCTGCAGCTCTGGCCGTTCGATCGCTGTCGGATGTAGCCACCGCCGTGGCTCTACAAGTGTGCATGGAAAAGGCGTGCGTCAGTTAAACGGTTTTTCATGCGTTCAAGATGGGTGGAGAGGAGAACTCCGTACCTGGTGAGCACGTGTGTACTGCGAGGCGAGAGCGGCCGCTGTGGACATGGCTGAGGGACTCATGCCCGGAACCAATGAGGGACCGTTGTATCGACTGCGCGGGTTCTGTGGTCCGCTGCCCTCGTCTCCATACGCGCCATACGCACCAAACGGTTGTTGCCAGGCTAAGCGCAAATTAGGGAACACCATTACACATCCACGAAAAACAGGGAACAGGGTGGAGCGAACCACCAGTTATTCTAGTGAATTTGGGTGAACAAGAGAGACCGGTTCTATGCGAGTATAGAACTCACACCGTTATGAATATGTGCGTCAACGACTACTACAAGGTTTTTCTTGGCCCTCAATTGTCACCGGAGGATATAATTTCTCCCGACTGACATTGGGCCACAGAAACTGGATCGGATTTGATGAAACCATGACTACTTGGATACTCGGTTCGGAGCATTTGCTCAAACCCTGACTACAAGCTAACCAAGGGGTGAAACGCCAACCCACCTGACCAGGGGAGGCCCTGGGGACCACCGTGGGCCGCGGCAGCAGCGGCGGCGTGGTACATGCTGTGCATCATGTTGCCATGGCCACCACCACCACCTCCGGCGTGGCCGTGCTGCTGGCCCTGGTGCACGAAGACGGGCATTTTCGGCACCGCCGAGCCCACCGTCAGGGTGTGGCCGTTGATCACCTGCTCCTGGCCCAACAACGACGCCGCCACGTCGGGATCATCGAAGGTTATGAAGGCGAAGGAGCGGAAGGGTCGTGGCACAAATACGTCCGTAATCTAAAATAGACACGAGGGCATTTCAAGGAGGCAACACATCTTAACGGAAAGCACACACGGGTGACGCGGATAATTGGGATCCGCGTCAGTCGAAGGTTGAAGTTATGGCCGCTGCTCAACGGTGCTAGAACCCTCTCCCACGCTGTCGAACATAAACAAACACCGCGGCGTATTGGCAGGCATGATGCAAGTCCAGAATACCAAGATATGCATGCAAATTCTCCCACGTTAGTGTTGGGCATTTGATCTTGCCTTAAGCGAGATCTTACGGCAGACATCGAGGTTGTTGAGATCGATCTCGATGGAGTTTGGGGGTGAAGTAAATTGCGAAACGAGAATCGGTGGCGCTGCGAATCTGCGTACATTCGTCGACTCGCACCCGCAGTAACGCAATCGCGCCACACACAGCTTCCTTGTACAATAGCCAGACGAAATTAGCAAAGGCACTTTGCTGGTTATTGTGCAATTCTGGTCGAAAAAAAACGCTCTGGAAATGTCCTAGTTTTTCACGGTTCTGTTGGGTCCAAGTCATACAAGTGTCACGTCGTACATGTGACTGCCAACAAGCTTTACGAAATGCTAACACGACCTTGAGTAAACACCACCATCACCACCACCACCACCCACGATGGAAGTGTCCCTGAATGTGTCATTAAGTTGCACCTCATCAGGTCGTTAACACAGAGATGCACAGGCCAAATTTATGGCTCTAAAACTGGGGCAACAATTTGGCAAATTGCGTGGGAAGGGGGGAGAACAGGAAACACACGCTCCAGTGATTAAACGCGCGATGCCAAAGCTGTTAATGCTACACCACCTAAAATGCCTTTAGACTGTTCAGCGTTGTCATGGCGACTTCAAGGACCACAGTGCACGAAGCAGAATCTCCTAACTTAACGTTTCAGTGATGGATTGTCGAAAGTGCAGGAGGCTAGGTTGTTCGTCGCACAAACATTAGCGTCGGATGCAGGCTAAAATGGTTTCATGGTTTAGCCTAAGAACGCGCGTGGAAGCAATTCGCACGACCAGTGGATACGAAAAACCACTCGACCATGGAGGATTTCACACGCCAGAAGCACGGCCTCTTGTGATTTGAAAAGCAATTAAAGAACGAAACGAAGCGAATTACGCTGACTGAAGACAAATGCAACATCAACCACACCAGGTAAAAAAACCAGGGTTTAACTGAAAAGGTGAAAGCGTTAAGTTCAAAGTGCAGTCCAGACTCTGCACTCGTGATTAATTGTCAAACGTCGCGCTTGCTAGAGCGATGCCTGCACGTTCACAACAGCTAGTCAAAACAACACATTCCTGGCAGATTCGCGAAGTGCAGTCGGTGGGGATGAAGCATGCCGACACAGACGCCCTCCCCCCCTCCCAATCACTGGTGTGTGCATTTTTCAAGTATACATTTCCGACTTTAGCATAAACCTAGTCGGAGGAAGGAAGCGAGTTTAGAAAACACCTCGGGGACACGAGGGCAAGAATGGTCACACATCTCAGGGTATTCACAAGTCACACACACTTGTGAAACATCGCAGTGCTTTCCCCTGTATGATTTTTGATCCCCAAATCATACTGACCCCCAAGGGGCCAGAATTTTCACACAAAACTAATTTTTCCGGAATCTGATTGGTGTAGGGCGTTATGAGTCGAAAAATTTCGGTCTTGTACATTTTCTAGCACTGACCATTGTCACTAGCTGACCCTTTAACCCAATCAACCCTGAGTTGACTCCTAGGGGGTCAACCTTTTAGACTGACTGTTCTAGTGCATTCCAAAGATATCCATTTTCAGGAGTGTGATGCATTTAAAAATCACCAATCTTGCTAGATCCCAGAGCAAAAGGAAGTACGACTTCCAGGCACGAATTTCGCCGCTTAATTTGTCAAAACGCGGGGGAACATAATGCTAGGCAGACAGAAGGGAACGCCCATTACCCTGCGCACAAGAAAACCGAACAGAATGAAACGCGCGATTTAAAGCCCACGCGAACGTAAGCTGAATGCGTGCGAAAAAAATTATTGGAAACCTAGGTTTTTGTCAGTATTTACACTAATACCTCAATACCTGCTTTAATCCGTTTTTATTCATCAGGTATCTGGTACCGTTTAGGTGAGGAGATTTTTCTTGACTACGGGCAAACGCAACAAAAACCGCACGCAGCAAGGAACAGGACGGGTTGAGTGTTTCTGGTCCTTATCAAAACAACGTGGGACGCAGCGCGAAAAGTGAGGCAAATTTACACACGAATGAGTCACCACATTGACACACTCGTGAACAGCCAACTAGTCAGTCCACGTCACACGGTCTAGCGCCATGGCGACAACGGCCAAAACGGTGCCTTGACAGACCAAAAAGGCGGCTTGGCGACGCGAGGTGGTCCAAATCTCCAGAATCCACGGACGAGAAGGTCCACATTTCGACTGGACAGCACAAGAACCACACGATTCACAAGTTCAGGGCTGTGTTAGCCAAACAGAAGCGACACCGCATTGGGATATTAAAAACACCAAAAGCGCAGTCATGATCACTTGCCACCCCAAAATCGTTGGCATTCAAAAAAGATTCTGGAGCTAGTCTAGGTGAGGTGGTGCTGAAGATGGCGGTTCCCTATCTGGAGTCTAATATAGACTACATGTTTGGTAATTTCACGAGTCTGTGTAGAATTCCCGGCCATTTCAGCACAAATTCAGGGGAACACAATTCCTCTGCGATATGCCAATTCTAGGCGTTGCCGTTTGATTTCTCGCCAACGCAGTTTGACAGGATGCTGACAGTAAGCATCTGATTTGATCGTTCGGTGGTTTGATGGAACATCAACATGTTCAACACCTTAGTGGTCGCGTACTTCCCATGACTTTTTTTGACCTTTTGCGGTTTGCGTGCGTTTAAGGAAACAAGTGCGTAGAACAACGTACCAACGCTTTTTTGCCCAGAACGCTAAATATGGCAAAAGTGCTACGATCCAAACTTTACGCCAATCGACGTTTCTTTCTGGCCAAAAAAGCAACAACAACAACAACACCAGACAAAGGAGGAGGAGGAGGAGAGAACTCACCTGTCCGAACTGCGAGAAGTGATCGCGCAGCATGTCCGAAGTGATGTCCTCGGTGAGCTGTCCAATGTGGAGCTTCCGATTGACCTCCTGGCGGTCACCTTCGACCTGAAATTTGAGAAGCAGGCACTCTCGCACTCAAACGAGTCAACACACATCACCCCTCAATCAACAGATTCATGCAGAGGGGGGGGGGAAGTGGGGGCAGGGAGGGGGAGGAGGGGGGACATGCCATCACTTCTTTAACAGAAACAGCATCGGCAGCAGCATCAGCAGCATACTGAGAAACGCACACACAGCAGGCCGGAAGAAAAGCAGTTGTTAGTCTCTTAGACAAACGTGTGCAGATGCATTCGTGTTTGTTTGTTTGTTTTTTTTAGATTTCGGTACTCGTCTGTGTTGCTAAATACGTACAATCAGTTTAGACATGCTTGACCACGGCAGATACGTACGGCGTGGAACGAGAGTGGTGTGTTCAAAAGCCGGCTTGTAGGACAACGCTTAGTTTAAGACGGATAAGCAAACAACCGGACAGACTGTGACCAGCGACTGGCACCACCGCTGATGATGACAATGACTGTGACCTTTGCGGGGGGATTGCATAAATGTACGTGCGCGTGCTCTATGCACACACCGCGATGACCTACCGTCATGTGAAAAAAAAAGCACACTTGGTACAACTGATACTAAAAGGAATGGGACAGTGTTTCGACTAGTGATTTGCGTCAAACAAGGCATGCACAAGAGACATCACTAGTTAGTCTGAGGCCTGGTTGGTTTGTTTATCCGTCAGTGGATCTAAACACCGAGAGTTTGTGCTGCCTATAATGAAAATCTAAGGGCGCACAGAGAACACCCTGCTAAGCAGACGAACACAGCTTCTACGTGGGTGACAGCTCGATGGCTTAACACCTAGTCTGAGGCTGGTTGGTTAAACCGAGGCAGGCGAATTGGGAGAAGGCCAAAGTGGGGCCTACCTTCGAAATGGGTATCCGGACATCGCACCATCTGGACTCGATAAAGTGGCGTTCGGCCAGACACATCACCTGGGCGTCGTAGTCACGGAAACGGATGAAGCCGTAGCCACGGCTCTGGTTTGTGTTCGGGTCGCGTTTAACCTGCAAGAGGCCGAGTAAATGGAGTAGAAACGTGGTTGTGTAATATTTGTGTCCGTATCAAGGAAAATTGCAACCAGGAGGGATTATCAGTGGACAAAAACAAGAGCTACCTCGTTGAGAGAGGCGGCTTTTACTGCCTCAGTCGTGTCAGGCTGTTGTGGACGACCTCGGAATGATCACAATTTCCGATTCTACGAATAACATCCTTGGAGAATGTGGAATACACCAGCATCCTGCCAACAATTCACCGAGTTGACGGGACGCGGGCACCCATGCGACGGAGCCAGATTAGTGCCTCCTCCAAATGTTTAAAGGCAAACTTCAGGAGCTATTGGCAGCTCTGCGTAGACTAAATGATTACGCCAGCGCCACCGGCTGTAGAGACCCTGCTATGCGGGTCTCGAACCCACACAGCACTTGCCAACACGTTGATGCACGAAAAGACAATGAGGTGTCCTTGATGACTCTACCCAAGGTGCAGGCGGGTGCGTGCTCATACGAGTCCACATTGACGATTAGTGGTGCGGTTTAGCAAGACGTCTGTGACTAAGAGACCGCGTCGTGAAGACCAACGGTTTCACATAGACATGCAGGTTTTTTTCGGCAAAAAATTTGAAATCCAAAAATCTACCAAGCTCAAGTAAGACCTTTGAATGACGCCTACAACCCTGTCGACATTGCAAATGACTCATTTTAACAAGTTTCCGGGGTGTGAGCTTTGTGAACTGTGCAATCATGTCTGTTTGCTAGTAGCAGAAACAGGCACTAAATAAGGTACATGGCACAGTCGGTTGACGCGCAGATTTCGCTACCGTCTGGTTGTCAAGGTGGGAGATGGTGGGGACACAGAAGTGCGAATTCACGCGGAAAAACTTTGTGTAACTCTTAGAGTGCACATTCTTCCCATTTTGCTCACATGACAAGTAGGCAAAAAACATCTATCGACAAGGCATATATTTTAAAGGGGATTGTCTTTCATACAATTAAACCCCAGTGTTTCTTTATTGGCTGATTAAAATAACATCTCTGGGCTTTGAAATACATATTCACAAGATGGCAAAACGATAATAAACTACACGTAGCTCATAATACGCGAAACAACATAACAGTAGCTGGTTAAAAAAGGCAAACTCGATACTGAGTTTGACACAAACAGATGACAGTTAAAAAATCAACACATCAAAAGCTGAACAGATAAATAGATGTAAACTTTTCCTTCAGATGTGATCAGGTAGAGAATGTGCAACATTTGGAAATATCTAACGTAACAACGGCAATGCAATGAAGGAATACACATATTATCGCCAGAATAATAAAGAACAGATTTAGGTCGCTTTAATAGGTTACATATCAGGAAGTATAAAGGGGCCATAGCTTAAGTCTAACCCAATGTATGCTATTATATACGGTTTCCTAAGCGTAGTCAACTTAAATTTAAGAAATCACCACCACAAAGACGACACAATAAAACACTAACGCAAAAATAAACACACGAAAAGCATGATGCTTAAAGCTAGCAAATAAGAGAAAGTTTGGCAGCTTACTTGAGCCATTACCACATCTCCAAACCGAGAAAAGTAAGTTTTGAGGGTAGACTCTTCAACCCGCCACGGGAGATTGAGGACAATGAGGTCTGTGCACTTTTTTCCGTCGAGGCGTTTTGTTTTGACAAATTTATCATTTTCCTCGTCTTCACCTTTTCTTTTGGCTAAAAGTGAGTAAAAAGTAAGAATTTAGTAACTGGGCAATTTAATTTATAAGACTATGAGCACAGTAGTAATATTGGAAGAGCTTGATAAGTCCAGCGGTAAGTGATGACGACCACATCAAAATAAAAAGTTATTAATCAAATATTTGCAACCATGGCCATGTATTCGCTACAATGGTGAATGTATTAAGCATATTCAAAGCAAAACCACGATGCCAGAAAAGCGCAAGAGTCTAAAATGACTACGAAACTTACTATAAGCAACAACAATTTTGTATATTCGATTAAGCCATCCATCTGGAGGTGGATATATGCGACCATCAGACAATCTTACGCCCCGCATACATCCAGTTTCAGACTGATATTTAAGTCCCGTTGCTCGTGGAAATTGTGCAGTGAGTGTGCTAAGAAGAAGAGTCTTATCTTCCTCTAACGGTAGTTCCACAGGAGCACCATCATCCTCACACACTTGAATGTATGAAATGTCACAACACATTTTCATTGTAGTTCCACAGGCTTTAAGAGCACGACCACGGCCCAGGCATGCAGAATCCAATTGGTTTGACAAAAGGCTATCATACCAACTATAGCTAAATTAATATTTACGTTTTGAGTTGACAGTACAAACTGTTTGTATCTAACATTTTGATATTTAAAAAAGTGTCCGCAGCATTTTTTTTAAATTTAACTATAGTCTACATTAAATCCACAGATATATCTGCTAATGTATAACAGTTTGTGTTGTTGGAATTTAATTTTTATAAAAAAATTCAAAACGCAGTTATAATCTGCGTCAAAAAAACATTTAAAAAAGTCGGCAAGTAAAATTCATTCTTTAATTTTAAGAAGTTTGACAATTAAAGGATGACAAAAGTAGGATTTAGGTATAAATTTCCCAGGAATTAAATTATATTTACTTTGATTACCTAATAAGAGCAAGATTTCCGTTATATGGGCATTTGCACTTTTAGACAGAGTCAAAATTTACCTTAATCTAAAAAGGACATGTTAAGGCTTAAATTCATTCACGATTTTTCTAAATGTACTTGTTTTAAATAAAGACAGAACATTATTCGAATGTATATTGTTTATTCAAAATGAACATATAAAGTGACTCAGCTCTACCAGAACTCAATTTATAAATAATAATTACAAATCTGAGGAGTCAAATTTTGAAACGCCATTTGAGTACCTTGAAATTTCAATTAAAAATGCTTTTTGCATATTTATGATTCGTTTAATGATTTCCTGTCGAAATGCACAAATCAGACATGCTAATTGCGCGTTTCGAGCGACACAGCTACTCATTTTGATCATGCATAGTTCAGCACGAATTTGTAAACGATTATGGCTCTCTAGTGTTCAGAAGTAGACAAGAAGTGAACTGTCTTCATTATTTTGCAGAGAATCGACGACATCCAGAAAGTAGGCACTGTGTTCGACCCTCCACAATCCGAAGCCTCATTTCAAACAAGTTACAAGTTTCTCAAAATTCAGTCCTCAGTCACTGACTCAAGCATTCAAGAAACATGTGAGGTGCGTTTGCAGCTCTAAGTGACTGCCCCACGGGACTTTCGCATTCAATCGATGATACGAATTCGAAGAAGGAAATAAGGCAGGTGGTGCATTCAGGTGGAAGAGTTGTCAATTACTCTTAAGATACAATCACGTCACACACACTTAGAGAATGCACAAGGAATCAATTGATTTCCCTGACTGCATTCCACGTAACGACGGCAATCAACTCGCTTCTCAGAGTGACGTCGTTCAGAGATCGAATGTCACGCGCTGCTATTTAAACTAACGTCTTGTCCCTCTACCTGCCATCCAGAAACTGTACCACTGCTTGATGAACCCCATGTCCGATGACAACGAGGCATGAGATGTGCGCACGTGAAACTGCATGAAATCACCACGAGTGATGAGCAACCAAATCCGCCACTCCCGAAGATAAATTGCCCTCATTTCGACACCAGAAACACCTCCACGTCGACGCATCTCGTGTGTGTGTGTGTTTTGATGTTGGTAGCAGCTGCGATTGTGTGAACGGGTGATGAATTGTTGTGCAAAGACGTCACACAACATAACCCTCCTGCCTCCAAGTGCCCAACTAATGCAGAGTGTGGTGATCGGGGTGCATTCGTGGTAATTGGTTGGACCACAACATCTCAAGGTCGTATCACAGGTCTTGTTGGAAAGGCATCAGCCTAATGTGGCAATGACTTTGCAATAAGCTGCAGACTTAATTTCCACAATATTAACAACTAAGCGTGGACACCTTCAAATCGAATTTTTGTACGTATCACAACTTCAAGCAACCGTTGATTCGCCTATGAGGCCCGTTTCACCCGACATTTAGCAACCACAACTTGCTCACGCCGCTTTTCTTGTGTCACTGAATGCATTGGAATTTTCCAATTTAGTAGTGCCACCTCAATCTCAAGGTCGTGCTCTCCCCAACCAATCGGAGGCGGTTTCCTATTCACCCAGACCCACGTTCACACACACAGAGGCTAAATTAAACTCCCCTTCTTCCAGGTACAACTGTCCGTTAAGGTATTGAGTTGACTCGTTGCACTGGTTCGTTGCGCTACCACTACAACTTAATCGAAGTTTCCTTTTATGACACCTTGAAAGTGTATCCTGACCATCTGGCAGCAATGCCCATCCACGCCATTCACGAAAACCTCGCAATGAACATCAGTGTGGAAAGATGAAGGAAATAAATGGGATGAGGTTCGATAGCAATGTAAACGCCTCCACAAGACACCTTACGGATTCCTTGTTTGTCAGGACGTCCGTAATCTAAGAAGGCGTCTTTTGATTGAAAGTGTAGGGGCCCAAATCAGCACTACCACAAAACCCTATAGATAACGCTTGGTCATAACCCGAGAAAAGAGAAGGCAGAGTCGAAAGAGAACACAACCGTTTTATTCGCGACACGCCCGTCAAGTCGAGTAGAGTAAAACCGTGAAACCAACTTCTGTGTGGGTATCGATTCGTGTGCGTTGCAGGCGACTGCTAACAAGAGCCAATGACAAAGAGGATGAGTCATTGATACAGTCGGGCAAGCACACACGAAGCACACACGCACGGTGGCTGTCTGTCCACTACAGTACATTCACAGTAAAAATCGATTGATTTGCGTTCGCTCACGCTAGCAAACTAAGTTCGCTCACGAATGTTAAGTGTGCTGGTTTGCTGGTCGCCACAAAAATAATTCCTTGGTTTATTTAAGTGTGACTCTCCTCCTACTCGCGGGTGCTACTGGTGTGTTTGAATGTGGCGGGAGAAGGCTGATTGGTCCAAAATGCACTTTACATATTGCTCTTTAGCCTGTGCTCCAATTACCTGATTATTTTACACGACACGAAGGTCCCTGGCCAGATATCCACTAACCAATCAACTTATGTGCACGAGTTTCATTGGCCGCGAGTCGGGTCCTCTTAACTTCGATTGGCTGATTGTTGCACGTAACAGAATCGAAAAATTGCGACCTCAAATGTCCGATTTTTCTCCCAATCACAGCATCAAGCTGCCTAAATAAGGTTAAAGGGTGTCTAGGCAAAATATCTTCATGTAAAAAGCGAGTAAACTACTGTTAACTGCGTCAACCGACCTGCATAGTCTACTACGAATACACACGTTCCGGTAAGAGTTGTGATGAAAACACTTCTCTTGAACATCCGCTTTCAGGTTTCCTTTTCTACATTCTGTACTGCCGTTTTATACCCTTTTTTCGTGTATTTTGAATCACGTGGTCGGCGCATTAACCAATCAGACTGCGCCACATGTTAAAATCATTAGTAATCAAGCTGATTCGAAATGACGACGTGATGTCGGTTTCTACTTTTGTAAAATAAATTAAACTGACATGTTGAATCTTAAACACTTGAAACATCTGAAAATGCCGCAAAGGTTGGGTTGTTGTTTAGTTGTTTTTACATAATCCAAGTAACAATTTTTGGTGTGAATTCTCTAATGCGTGCAGTTGTTGCGTTGTCTGGATTACAGAGACGCTACAACCACTATTTATATCCACAAGCAGACAGTAATTAATCACTTGCCTCTTTGCAACCGAGTGTGAAGTAGAGTAGCCACTTTTGCCTTGGATATTATTTTTTTATTTGGTTTGTTGCTGCGCCTCACCATCTCGATGGTGGCATTGGCGCATTTGAATGTGGCGGTAAAGGCTGATTGGTCTGAAATTCAAGATAACCACAAATCAATCAACTTCCGGACTGACCTTTCCACGCCTTTGCTTCTACCAATTACGATCGAGGGAATAAAATCATTAATGTCACGAGCAATCCCTCAATGCACACCTCACGTGGGAAATGTCTGCAGGGGCTAGCGCATGACTTTTGGCTCGGTAGCATAAACAAGTGTCGAAATTTATCAGCCAACCGACAACGAGACGTCAGACGTCTGGTGGCCCAAAATCATCGTTTTTGACCATCTAGTAAAATATTTGTCGTACAAATATGCCTTAGTGCCGAATAATCGACTATTTTGCTGTTTTCAGTCCTCATTCTCTTCTCTAGGTAGTGGTGTCTTTAAAAACCACCAATCATTTGGCACTTTTTGCTTAAAATTCTGCATTTAGACACTGCGAGGCGAAATTGTACAGCCAGTTAAAAAAGGATACCGACTCAGACAAATGACTTCACAACCAGGACACATTCAACTCCGCCAATAAACAAGACTGGAATGCTGAACCATCACTTGTCTGTGCAGTCTTTTTTTTCAACACGGTAGACACAGAACATTTGCTGAAATTGCCAACATTTACCCAATTGTGGACCACAGATTTTCATGATTACTTTGCACATTTAGAAGGAGGTTCGGTGATTTCTGGCACCAGGTTTTGTTCACGTTTCTGTTTAGCTTTCAAAATTTAGCTGAAGAATCGGTGTCATAATATCTTTTTTCCAAAATGGAACCTTTTTAGACTAGGAACCTTCCTGAAAAGGCGAAGACTAGTGATCTGGACGAACAGGAAGAATCGTGATTAAATGTTTGTAAGTTTGATCGACCAATCACGAGGTAGAACGATTTCTTCCATCAGAATGTATCACTATAATATGAAGTTATGTAAATGGAACACCTGATGTTCACTGCAAGGTCCTTAAATATTGTGATCTGCTGAAGAGCAGGATTATCAAATAAACATTGTTGGTGTTGGGAAATGCGGTGAACAAGTAACTATCGATTAACCGATATACAAAGAAGTAAATCAATTCGCCTTTACCAAGAATGCGGAATGCCGCAGGGAATAGATTATGGCGAACATTGTGACCAAGCCTGAACCAACACACACACACAGACGAGTCTAAAAGTTGATCTTAGAATGATTTGTTGGCAGCTCACATTGATGCTAGTTGATCACGGAACTACAGTAGACAACGGTGAAATCATATGCTTGAAAACTAAGCCAAGTGTGGTTTAGTAAATTTAAAACCGAGATTTTAAATCACTTCAGCGTTCGACCGCATG